ATATGGATTAATATTTAAAAAATAAACATATATATAAAACAAAGGAATGAAAAAAAAAATGGTTTAATAACAATAATAAAAAAAATATCTAAAACAAAAAAAACAAAAGAATTAAAAAATAAAAAAGATGAGAGAAAAATGGACGTTCCATTTATTCCTCTCCTGTTAAATATTATAATGATGTTCAATGTGCAATGCAATTTTATTTTTATTGTAATTATAAATGTGTATCGTATTTTTTAAATACGATCTTATAGATTGTGTAAACTTATATTTCGTTCATGTTTTGTGTCGGGTGTGTGTCAATTCTTTGTGTTCTGTTTCAGGTACCTAGATCATAGCATTTCCTTCTATCCTAAATTTTCCCTCTATTCTTTTTGATTCCTTCCGGGTGTGCGGTCGCGCGTTTGCTCTCATTTGCTGTGAAGAGAGCAGCGGCTTCCACGTGGCCGCATCCCAGGTGCAAAAGGTATATATCTTCTCTCGAAGATGATAACCAGGTATCAATTCAAGCGCAAAACATAGCCGTTTTGCTAAAGGTATATTATCTTCTTTCGAATTCAAGCGCAAAACACAGCCTCTGAATTGATGCAAGACCGTACGCATTTACCTTCATGAGGTTGCACCTGTTTCATACAGAATATGCTACGGATCTCGTTTGATCCACTAGATTTACCATAAGCTGGTTTATCTATGGGATTAAAATTAAATTCTATATTCAAAATCCAATTAATTAGTTGTACAGGTATTTAGCTCATTAAATTCTAACACAATATGTAAATTTTAGTTTAAAGATATATTTGTTTATTCTTACAGATATTGTACCAATTTGAGATATCTTCAACCTCCTTGTTGATCTAGGGCAGCGATTCCCAACCCTGCCTACGCAATACAGTTTTGTTTATTAATTAAATTAGTATTATGTAACGAACTTTTATTAATTAAGATTATTGCAATTCCAAATAATAGAAACAATTGTAAAATAGATAAAATATCAAAAACATTTGTAAGCAAATAGATTAGGGTAAACGGAAATGCAGTAATCGAAAACGATTGTAGAATATTTTTTTTTACGTTTATTAAAATTTATAAGTGTATACACATTATAGTACATAAAATTAGATACCTTTTTTTAAAACGAATAAATACAATTAATTTCTATTAAATAATATAGTAATTGTAATAATATTATATCGAAGAGTAATATATATATATATAGAATACATAATTATAATTGAACTGGATTTCGAATTATAACGTTCTTACTTGATTTTGTTTTATATATATATATATCTCTCTCGTGTTATTTAAATATATAACACAAACATTATATGTATATAAAGTACAAACACAATGGTTAATTTATCAGTTTTAAGTAATGCAGTCTGTTGAAATTGGAAGAATTGCAGTTCAGAAACAAAAGACGATTTACAAAAAAAGAATAATAATAGAAATAAACAACAACACACGAAATGTCGACGTCTTATGGACATCGCAACTACATATAATTAATATTTATTTTTATATATATAATTATTTTTTTCTTATTAAATTTGTAATAGCGAAATTTGTATTTTAGTTTTTAAATAGTAAGTGAAAATTGCTAGAAAATATATTATAGTAATTGTAAGCGTTCCTTCTATGGACGTTGTTTTGTTTACTAATCGTTTTTTGGCTGATCGTTCGTGAAATTGACCAGCAACTGAAATAGGACTAGTACAATATTAAAATGCTCCAAAAAACTGGGATTACGTTCAGCTACGAAACCTATTTCATCATCTCACGCAAGAACCGTTCATTCGTTTACTTTACTTTTACTCCGCATTCGCTTCTCTGTTTTAATAGTGAACTAGATATTATTTCAACATTTAACACAAAATATATAATATATATATATTTATATTGATCAAAAACACCAAGAAATTTTCGCGTAGTGTAGTCTAAAAAAAAAATCATTCGCTCCTCTTCACCTTCTTCACACTCCATCATCATCGTCCTGTTTATTTGAAGAACATCCATTGAGCCATGTGTTGCGAAGACTACACCGAAACCGCTCCACATCAAAAAAGACACTATATATATATATTTGCTGTTTTACTTTTAACTTGTTCATCCCGTATTTCAAACTCCCATGCGTGTATTACTTTTTTTAGTTGTATATATTACCTTATACTCATCAATTATTTGTTTTGGTTTTCTTCTTCATACTTTTTATTACTAAAAAAATACGAAAATATATTTATCACAAGGCAGGAATTTTAATTTTATCTTAACTATATAAAAATAAAGCGTATGAATTCCCTTTCTTCCTATTCGTTATTTCCTGGTGGTAAATACGTTCTCGTGGCACAAAAATATATATTCATCGTAGATATAATATATATATATATAGTATTAATAATTTTGTTATAAAAAACACTGAGATCGGCTACGAAAATGTTGGTAGTTAAATGCAATGTTATTATTTTAAGATTCCAATAGTAAAGGTACTTTGGGTTCATATCGTCCGAAAAAATTCTTTCGTTTAAACTATGTGTGCATTAGAAATACATTTAGAATACTTTAATTTACTTATACTTATTATTTGCATTTCTTTTTCAACTTTTTAAATCTATCAACTTGAAGAGAGTTAATGTTTCATAAGAATGAATCCCTCCGGATATATTGAAGTCACATTGTGCTTATTTTAATTTACTTTATATTTGTTTACGCTTGCTTTGTAGTTGCTGATTTAATACACTTATTCTTCTTGTTATTATTATTATTATAAAATATGGAGGTGTTCCTTTTGTTAAATAGTTATTTTGTTACTGTTCGTTTTTAACGCATGTATACGGATATATACACAAATGAAACGATAAATACAAAATTACGTGTTACAATGTTTATAAATGCCATTAAGAACTAAGCGTTTTGTGCACGAAAAAAAAAGTACATGTATATATTAATATAGAAAAACGAATCGACGAAAATCAAAACTTATTAAGTAATAGGATAATTGTTAGAGAAAGTGTACGGTCCGAAGGCCTTCACCATTCTATCTACCCATTTTGTTGTTTGAATGACTGAACAATAAAATCTTTTCGTTTTTTTTTCCTGCTCCCGCCTTTCGTAATAATATTTGCTTTTTCCTGTTCATTTTGCATTTAAACGTTGGTTATAGTTCACTCTAATTATTATCATATAAATTGAAAATAAGTCAAAAAAATATATTTATATATATATATTATAGACTTTTGTTAATAACCTATTAATATTATTATTTTTTTCTTGCATTATTCCATACATTCCATCAAATATTTATCTTTAATTCATAAGTAGACTCTTCGCACTATATATATGTACATACATATACATACATACGTATATCGGTGTGTGTCTGTATATATATATAAATACATTGTATAGTATGTTTATATAATTACGGTTTGCTCGGCATTACATCTTAATTCTGGTTTAATAAATTTTGTTTTTGACTAGGGCACAACGATAGGGATCACGCCTACTCCCAAAACTGATATTAAATATAGTTAACTCGTTTAACACGTCTACTTCATGCTTCCGTTTCGCCACCTTTTAACCTAAGTCGGGCGAAGTCCTCGAAAATGATGTCGTCGTCGTGATCCTGAACGTTGTTCTCATCCCTGAAACGTCTCCTACATTTAATACCTAAGATAATTGAATGAAAGTAGTCACAACTTACGCATCCAATTGTATCAAATTAGCATCATCCGAAACGTTGGCGCCCATTTCATTACTGGCCCTACGTGATGTTTCCGGCAGAAGAAGCTCCTCCTCGGGCTTCGGGTGCATCAAGATAAACGGCAATTCGGCGACAAGGTCACTAGAAAATTATATATATATATAGCTTTTGGTATTGTCTACCATAGCGTTATTGCCTTACCCTCCAAGTGCGCTCAGGCAAAGCTTTACTTTCACTTTGTATTGGACTATGATTCCAAGGTTCTCACGTTGCTGCGGATCAGCCACTCTACAGTTAAAACATACTGTCAGTATTGTGCATCGATCATTGGAGCAGGGGGGAAAGGTGTAAAAAATTAACTAAATACCAAAACGTACGCAACTGCAGATATCCAAAAGGCTTCTAAATGTACACTAGTCAAAGGATTATTGGAATGAAAAACTTCTATACTACTTTCAAAAACAAATAAACAAAATAATCACGTTCAGAAATTCTACAATCCCAACTCATAATTGATTTTATAATCACTTCATTCGGACAAATCGCGTGATTATTGACGTTATATCTTAAAAGTAATTTATAAATAAATATTAGGTTTAAATAGAAGACATTTTGTGTTCTTGCAAAGTCGCTTACAGGTTGAGTCATCAGCAATCAGCGACATTCTCCATTAAGACTCATGACAAAAATAATCATTAGTCGCATACTTTCTGTATATATGGAAAATCCTATGACTCGATGACCGTTTCAGTGAGCAATGATTTTGAAAACTATTTTCTACTTATAATATTTGATTTTGAAATTTCGAAAGCCAAAATGAAATTTGACTATTGAATATTTTTTTGTTAAATTTCAAATAACTACATTATCTACTAACTAAACTTGCAGAAAAATAATGGTCATACAACTGATTTCAGAATGCAATCAACGCGATAGAAATAATAAAATACTCTACGTTTTACTAATGCACACTGCAAAGAAGTTGTAGTACTTTTGTGGTTTGTGGTAATATAGGACAGAGTACATTTAAGCCATAGATGTAATAAACGAATGGAACATAAGGCACACCCAAAGGGTGTGGTTTTAATGAAAGTGGAGAGAGCTGGAATTGCATACGTTTTGGGGTTGTTTTGCATATTGAATGTGAGTAAAAAAAACATATATGTAAAAAAAAAAGAAGAAAACAGAAACGAAAAATAAAAAGGAAAGTAGAAGAAGTATTTGTTAACAGCAACATACACATGGCAATTAAATAAGGATAAGATAGCCAAGCACATGTTGAAACTGACATAATCCATGCCTCGTCTAGGACAACATTGACTCAAATAATAAAATCTAAATGATTTGTATTTTTCGTTCGTTTCGAATACACTATTTCCAATGGGAAAAGCGAATTAAGCATGTAGTAGTGGAACTTGATTACGTGAATATATATATATATAAATATAAAAAAGGACATCGAGGCGTATATACAAAGCATATAGACTTACAAAGTGCTCGATGCTAAATTAGTGTCCTCATGTTTAAGTTGTCCGTCCAATGCAAGGCCCCACTTATCCTTATTATTGGCCAGAAGAGGTGTCAAAGTAAACACTTTGCTCAGTGTGAAGCCAGGGCCGATGGGGCAGCCTTCTCTGCCCAATCAACACACATACTTTAGTTATATACAAAAATAAAATAATAATCAAATTAAATTAATAAAATAATAATCAAATTAAAAAAAAAGAACAAAATCAAATGAGCAAAAAAAAAATCAAAACCATACAAGAACAAACGACGAAATTATAAAATAAGTAAATTAGGGAGAAAAATAACAAAAACAAAATACGGTGTCTTGTATTTTTTTTTTGATACACATAGATCATTTTCCCCATCGCCTGCCTGGTCTCTGTACCTACTCATGCAAACACCAACACCAGGTTTTAAATTACAAATCGGTCCTTCTCTAACTCTAACTCACATAGTTGACGACGCTAAATTCGTATCTTCGTGTTTCAATTGGCCATCCAAAGCTAACCCTCTTTTATCTTTATTATTTGCTAATAAAGGACGTACTGCGAATACTTTCGACATAGTAAATCCGGGCGAAACTGGGCAACCTGCTCTGTAATATGCATCTACCTATTATATTATCTGACTCCACTCAGTGTTCAAATGGATGCGTCACATGATTACAGTTCTTTGAGATTAATAACATTTGTTATGTGTTTAACGCCTGTCAGTCTCTTAGCGAAATGCAAACGTGCGCTCTAAATGAAAGAAAACAAGAATAAAGAAATAAAGGATTAACAACAGGTGCAGTTACGACACCTTGCAAGAAGTACATCTAAGAAAACAAAATCATACGTAACAAATAAAAAAAAAAACTCTAGTTAATCTTATTTTTTCTTTTGCACTACATAGCAAGAACGAAAAACGCAGTCTCTAGTAAATTAAAAACGTCGTTTTGTTTTGCATTTGCTGTTTTGCTTCATTCTTTTTTCTTTTAAATAATAATATCCTTTAAACATAACAAGATAACTAAAAATAATTGGATGTATTTATATCGGTTACTCCCTAAAACTGGTGCATGAATATTTAGTAATGCTAATAACTAGTCGCTACTTCCCACGATCATTACACATTCAACCGGATGTTTATTATTCCAGGAGGATCGATACTAATTTATTTCTACTGACAAAACCCGGCTAATTCGCGGTTTTAAACGAAGACTACAAATAGCAACCAAATTGAATATGTCTGCATAGATTCCTCGCAAAATAATTTTAACTCGGGGACAAAATCACGTACGCTCTATTTCGTGCAGCGCGGCTGGAAATAGATATGAAAATAAAGTTTTGATACTATGCTATGCACAGGGACATCAGCCAAAAAAATATGTTGTTTCTGTTTATCTGTCGATAAATGTGAAATGCAATTCGAGTGGATGGGCAGACAGGACAGATAAGGTCCGTACGCCAAATACAATGGAATGTGTACTTGCCATTGTTCGAAAATGCAAACCATAGCTGGAGAACAAAAACAGGACGAGCGCATTTACGGACGAAGTAGCGACTAATTGGGAGCAATTGGGAATTCGATATTGAACGTGTAATTAATTTGTATATAGGAGGATCGGAACGCATCAACTTACTCGCTTTCCGTTTCGGCGACTGTACACTTGTATTGTGCAGTTGAGAACAAGCAAATATCAGCGAATTGACGAACAGACACCTTGATCTTTTTCACTGTCCTGTTCGAGTTGTTGGCTATGTGCACGTTGACAGCGATGTTCTCACCGTGATGGTACAACTCTTTGTCTAACGAAGCTTCCAAATACAATTTGTTAGGGCTCATCATAAATTCCTTGCTCACCTCGACGGACGGCTGTTCTCCCTGTTTGCTCGGAGCGTACATTATTTTTCTTATAGCTAACCTGTAAGACAACCATCAATCATGCACGCAAATATGATGTATCAGCATCGACTACAATAACAATATCATAGGCATGTCGCGATTCCAGATATTCCTTTCTTCGCGACACACCTTGGACAAGGCAATTACCTCACAGAATTTCGTTTATGCGGTTTATCATCTTGGGTTTCCCCTACGAACGCTTTCAGTTCATAATCGACACCGCAAGGCTTGCCGGTATCACCAGGTGCTGGCTGCAGTGTCACTGAAGCAGGGCAATGTGGTGGTAATTCAAAATAAAACGGAAATGCATTTGGTCCCAATTTCTTAATTAGACGTTCCTATTCAACAACAGAGAAAAAAAACACGACCTCTAGAATTAAAACCGAGACATTTCATTTTTCTAAATATTGCAAACTTAATACATTCCTTATTTTATTAATATGAAATTGCTAAAATAAATTGAAAATCTCTTTATTTGCAAAATATTGCGTCCGTTTAATAAATGTATTCATCAAGTGTAAATAGCGAAGAAACATTTCAATTGTCTGGGATTAATAGGAAACGAACCGATAATTCGATACACTTTGCACCTACCGGTCAAAACCACCTCCGACTTTAAACTTCGAACCTTGTCATATGTTTATTACAACAGACTTGAGATCAATTGAAATCAAACTTCAAAATTGTAATTGAATAAGATCAATCACTTATAGTAATGAAAAATACGTTCATAAAAAAACGTACTTCTCTGTATTTACTCTTACATTACGATCAATAATATTGAATTTACTTCAGTTTAGTTGATCTACATGTAAATGGCATACAAATAATTAAAGATAATTCAATTTTCAAGTCTATAATGAAGTAAATTATGAATGAAATATCATATAAATGTGTTGGGAATTGGAATGAGACTTAAGATCTTAATATAGTTTAAAAATACTATATTTAGGTACTGATTTCATGGTCATTTATATATAGATTTCCCATCATAATCCACGTAAAAATAACAACGTCGTAATTCCCTTATTTTCAGTTGTTACGGAAATATTATTTCATACGAATATCGTCTCAAGAGCACGAGCATCCATTTCAAAGACATCTCCAAAGGAATATGTTAAATCCTTACATATTTCACGTTGTAATGCACACTTCACCGAAATTGATAATCTTCGTAGTTCTCCAATCTGTATACGCATCGTATATCGTAAAAAAATGAAATGAAGAAGTATTTGTTCCATATTTTTTTGAGTAATATTTACTATTTTGTTTACATAATACTAATATTTAGAACTTGAAGTAGCAAATAAATCCGCTTTTTGCGTAGGTCAACAATAAGTAACATAATACGTCAACAAGCATTAAAGCTTGGATGTTTTTATTTACTGTTGAACCAAAGTGTTCTTTAAATATTAGTAAATTTCGTTTTGCGACATTGTCAATTTTTCGTTTCGAATTAATACAAATCTCAAAATTACTTTGCTACATGTAAAGCTTTCGTTCCGTTTTTTTCCAAAAATATATTTTATTTTCTACTTGTTTACTCTTCAATCGATAACAAACATTCAATCTGGCATTCCAAACATTAGCTACGTAAGTCGTATATATGTATGAGCCTTTTTTGAATATTGCCTTTTCTCCATTAGTGTATTTTGCTAGTTCTGATATTGAAATAAGTTCGTTAAAAGTTAAGTTTAAATATATAAATTCCGACGACTCATCAGATTTCCAAATTAGTATTAAGATCCGCTTATATTTGTAACAATGGTTTCCCATATTAAGTAACAATACGCAATTTACAATAATCATATTGGGAAATCGTTTACAATATTATTCATATAGAGAATTTAAACGACTCATCGTACTTTACTTGAAATTTCAAATTAGTCAATATTAATATAAAGTAACATCCGTTTACGTTTGTAACAATAGTTTCCCATATTAAGTAACTCACTATTTATAAAAATGCACATATCGCAATAATCATATACCAATATCAATAACAATGATTAGGTTTGCATTATTTGCTCATGATTTACTGGAAGCAAGTGACTGGAGTGTAGGATTCAGATTTCATCTTCGCTTTAATGTTAAATATTTTAACATTAATTCCATCGAACTTTACGTGGGATAAAAACATTTAGTATAAAGAAGGTGGCACTTACTTGTAATCGAGTTAATGGTCTAGTATTGTTTTCTTGCGGGAATATCTGTTCGGCGGCGAGGTATAAATCTTTCCTAAAGGTTAAACCGAGTACATCTAAATCCTCTCTTCCGTAGCGGAAGGCGGCCAGGACGTGTCCGAACACCCTACGACCCTTCGAATACTCTGGATCTATAAGAACAACACCATCTGCAAACACAAACATGATTAGACCAAGTCATCAGATCGAATAAAATTCGAATTACCGATAGGGTCCACATGTGATATGTGATCTACGAAATCGCGTTTGCCTAGGTAAACGGTGATCTTTCCATTAGGAGAGCTCTTCTTGAACACTCTAAAACTCAAAAAAACACAGCAGTTTCTTATCACTGGTCCCTTGCCGATTTTCGGCTTCCTACCTTGTAGCCTGCCTTTTACTGCTGGTGTCATCCATGTCAGGACTTGCTGGCGCCAACCCAGAGTTGGTTGGCTGTAAGTCTTGAGGACTGCGTGCTGGCACTTGGACACCCTCCAGTATGATCTGCCAGAGTACAACAACAAAAATGAACGTTGCAAAATTGAATTAAGCTATTTGCACTGCTGATAAGCTTTGTGGTTTAGTAATGGAATATATATATATTTATATATGTATGTATATATATTTATCAGAGTGTGTGTGTATGTAATCTAGTATAAACCACATAAAATTCAAGGACTCACTGTGCTTCAATTTTAACTGAATTTTATTTGAAGCAATCTGTATGTATGTTTATATAAAAATATGCCTGTTGGAGAGGGGAAGGGAAAAAAATGGATAAAGTAAGTGGAATGGAGCTGGTGGGTTTTGTGGATGGAGTGAAATTGGTGTATGTGCGAAAAATGTTTATACAAAAGTTATTCATAGTATGTTTGTTATGATTTTAAAGTGATAATAACCAGATACACAGAAGCTAAACAAACAGATTCCAGGTTCATTTGCTTTTAAATATCAGTGATAAAATAATTTGATGGAAGCTTGTTCACTCCTAGGGCACTGGCTTCTGTAAACATTTATGTCTGTCCGAACCCCTGTCTGATTAATCAAATTGATGAAGCTATGCAAGTTCAATTGGGGCCACTTTGCAGTGAGGTTTGCTCATCAACATGAACACCATTGGCGTTTAATTGGCCCAAAATTGTACGTGACCTGCTGCTGTTGCCACTTACTCGTTACTATCGTCTTCCGCTCCTGCAGCAATCCAAAGGGTGTTATAGGACGTGGTGGGACCTTTGCTCGTTTATCGGTGGTCGCACGTTACAACAAACAACTACACATATAGTCAACATATAAACAATATAACCCGTATTTCGTATTATTGCTTTGGAATTCTGCGCTCGCAGTTACGCGTTCGTTACACGTTACAGCCCTACCGGAGCTACGTAGACCGCACACCACAATAAACCTGAACTCGATGGTTTGGAACACTTGAACGGTGCAATGTGTAATCTACTTTATTCCTCTCCTCTCCTGATCGCTTTCTGTTTAACTGCTCAATTAGATTTGTTTTCCTCCCTCGTTTGTTGCTCACTGTTTTCGTGTTACGTGCCCTGCGACTCTGCGAATTATCGGGCCGTGTCTCGCGGCTATTTTCTCGCTTATTGAATATATATACCCAGATATACCATAGATGGATGATGCCTCTGACTGGGGGATTTTTTAGTTTCTATCGCACGTAGGGATTTTCACTGCGCTCGTTTAGCCAACTGCCAGCACAATTATAACAATTCGAATCATCGACTAACAACAAGAAGGAACGATTGTATCTGGTATCTGCGGTGGGGAGTGATCTTTTTCTCTTCTTGTTCTTTTTTTCTTTACTACCTATTCACCTTTGACCAATATTTGCAGTCGGCTCAAATGAACTACTCTAACTGTCAGCAGGTTCAAATCGGCAGCGCGAAACTTGACGGAAACCGGATTTCCTGTCGTTATCACAGGAAACCACCTAATGATAGATTTAGACCCCTAATACACACTTCTTCCGTTAGTAAATTCGACCTGGATGCTGTTAAAGTACAGATCCCAGAACGGTCAGGCAACCACACATACACGCCCTCAACGAACTTCGTTGTTAAACTGAGTTCGCACATGAATGAGAGAGCTTTGAATCGATAAATCATTCCATCCACCGACAAGACGCACTCGTCCAATTTGGATTAATTTAATATTAATTGCATATTGATTGCGGATGTGACATTTGAACAGCGTGGAACGAAAGGCGTGCGCATTTGATCTATACAGGGTGTTCCAACTCATCATTTTTTTTGGGCCTGTCCCAATAACCTGTGGGACAAGCAAATGTCCCATTTGCTAGCTACCATTTAAGGTTCTGAAAATATACGAATAAAGAAGTCTCAAATCAGGCATAGTGTAGATGCAGCATTGTAATCTGCAATTAAAGCTTGTCTGAGCAATTTGTAGATCAGATTTACTAATAATATTTTTCATTTAAATTTTATTATCAGCCTTCAAATTTTCATTCACTATTTGCTATCACTTAGATTTTCATTAGACTTACATTGAATATGAATATTTAAAAAAAGGATTGAGTTATTATCATTTTAGTGTTATCAGAAAATAAAGGAAACAACAATCGCAAATAATATTGCTGTGGGTTAAATTGCGCTAAAACTGCGTTTATAACGCAACGTGCAGAGTTGATAATAAATATGACTAATGTTTGGAGATTTGCCAAAGTTTGGTATTGGAAAACTGATGGACACCATAAATATGTCGTTAAAATATTCCAAACTTAGAAACCATTTCCTTTATACTTAATTACCTATAATCACTATTCAGTTTTCGTACTGCATAAGAATAGAATTATATAAAATACACGTTTCCATTGCTTTTAAGTTTTCTTATCTAATTTAATGTGGAACAATATTTGAGAAGCACTTATGTAGACCAATCAACCTACTAAACATATTATCAAAAATGTTTGTTTGCTTTTTAATAGACGGGACAATTAGTTGTAATGTAATTCATAGAAGAAGGGAAATTACAAGTGTGTTGTGAGATGCACCCGGTATATAGAAGTAATCCAATATAGAATACATATTTTATATAACGGCTGAATACAAAATTGATGAACTCATCTACTCCAGACACACTTGTTAATAATGAAAGGATCGACGCACATGTGAAATTCAGAATTATTACCGCCTGCACGCTCTTCTATATTTAAGCTCAAATAAAAGTTTAATTTGTAACTGTTGTTCAGAAAATTACACGCAATGTTGAAATTAATTTAATTTCATAAATTTGTTGTTTTTTAAACAATTTATACACTTCTACATCTAAAGGCACTCCAGACATCAATAAGCAAATCAACTCTTGCCTTTTGATCTTTGACGACTCGTGATGAAACAGCACTAGAAGGCAGCAATCCTCTACTTCGTTAGCCTGCTTAGTGCTCAATCAAAATTATTTGAATTCACACCGAATTAATCCTCATGGTAATATAACTAATCAATTTCAAATGTAATGATGCAACTTTGTATTCTAATTCATGTGTATTTTCTTTTCGATATTATTTTTTTAATATTTAACACGAGGACTTATACAATCCTCAGATTGTACATATATATAATTCAAGTGCATTTAGTGTAATACGTTAGATAGTTATGATGATAAATTGTTATTATTATCAGATTAGAAAAGAAGAATTTCAGATAAGCCGAATTAAATTTTGTTGGTTTGTGTGTTTTCATATTGTATTATAACACCGTAGTCTTAAATTGGTTATTGATTTGAGCTTTGTTACTACGCGGGTAGTTCAAATGAACCTCCGGGGATACGGCCTAGGAAGGGAAAAATCGAGCACCTGCCATATAATATGATTAGTTCCGGAAAATGGAGATGATAATGGCAAAATCTTACTTTGAACGAAAAATAATTATAATCCTTTAATATCATTACAATACCATTATATTCTAATAATTTCAATTATAAAATCATTTTTCGAACTTTTTCCAGAAAAAATAAATATTCAAATAAGCTTTTAATTGAAACTTTGTGTATAGTTTATTTGTAATTTGTTTTATTTTAACTAATTTGTTGTATTTAATAATGTAACTATAGCTGATGTCAACTAATTGGATTCAAGGCTCATATTCTATGGGCATAGAGTTTAAATTGTAGTACCTTAAGTTGAGTAAGAGATTGGACCTGGTGAACATTTTTGTGGCTTCGTCTGTAATTGGAGAAACTTTAATTACATTATATTCTAAAACGTGAAAACGTGTATTACAACCTTCAAGGGTGTAACATTTTGTAAGTTTGGGTGTTTTCCTATAAGAAACATTGTACTCTTAAATTGGTTATTGATTGGTAGTTCAAATGAACCATCGGTGGAGATAGCTTTCGAAGGGTAGAACCGACTTCCAGAGAAATTCTATGAGCCTGTAAGTAGTTCTGGATGTATGAGGAAAGTGCAGTTGCAGTTGTGGAAGGCGATATCCTGCATTTCGTTCGCAAATTTATTGATTTATCTGAGTATCCGACATTCGAGTTAACGGGTTTTCGCAGCAGCGGGGCGTGGTGGAATACGCGTGCGCCGTGGAGTCGCTGCCGTGGCGTCTGCTCTGTGGCCGTCTTCGTCTTGTCGTTGGCGCTGTCAGTTTCTGTTTGTACGTGTTTTTCCTCGATCCGTGTTTTTTGCCCCTAGACGAGGCACGGACTTAGCTTGGATGACCTGCTGAGTATTTCGCACATTTCCACAACCTAGAGTCGTTTTCGTTGAGTTCGCAGCGGCCGCGCGATGTCTACGTCCGGGGATTTCGGCAATCCGCTGAGGAAGTTCAAGCTGGTGTTCCTGGGGGAGCAGAGCGGTAAGTTCGCACTCCTCGACGAGAGGTGCAAACAGAGCCAAGGCCCAAGATCAATAAACCGGGTTTGGCTGCTGTTACTCGCATTCCGGCTTCGCAGAAAACCCGGAAAGGCTTCAACCTTTACCTTCCATACCTGCTGTTTTCTCTCGCTTTCCTTTCGGAATCATTTCAATATTTGCGTAGGTGGCATCAGAGCCCAATCGATATTATAGGTTATGTGTGATTGGGGTTGACCCATCACCATCCCTTCATTCCTAAATATTTAAACTATCTAATATTCCAGTTGGAAAGACCTCGCTAATTACCAGGTTCATGTATGATAGCTTCGATAACACCTATCAGGTAATAATTGATGACCTGTCATTGAGCCCTTTCTAAGTTGCCCTTGTTTCTTTTTTTTCTCTTGCCACTGAGTAGGCAACAATAGGAATTGACTTCTTGTCGAAGACCATGTACTTAGAGGACAGGACTGTCCGCTTGCAGCTATGGGACACTGCTGGTCAGGAGAGGTTTCGCTCACTGATCCCTTCCTACATCCGTGATTCAACTGTTGCTGTTGTAGTCTATGATATCACTAGTGAGTCACCAGCACCACCATCATCCAAATCCAAACTTGACATGACGTTTTTCTAGATGCCAACTCCTTTCACCAAACTTCTAAGTGGATTGACGATGTGAGAACAGAGAGGGGCACTGATGTGATCATCATGCTTGTTGGCAATAAAACTGACCTGTCTGACAAGAGGCAGGTGAGCACGGAGGAGGGTGATAGAAAAGCAAAAGAGCTCAATGTTATGTTTATTGAAACTAGTGCTAAAGCAGGTTATAATGTTAAACAGGTAATCCATCAAAAACAAGCCACACTCATCAACAATCAATTAACACAAAACATATCATTTCCAACAGTTATTTAGGCGTGTAGCTGCTGCTTTACCAGGCATGGATTCAACAGAAAATAAACCACCAGAAGACAGTATCCTTTATCAACGTTATTTTTCAGCAAGAGCATGCATTCTGTTATCAGCATGATGCGTTTGTGCCAGTTCTGTTACGCATGCTTCTATCAAAATCCATCCCTTACTCGTTTTTCTTTATTGGAGATCTTTTTATTTCGTTTTATATTTTCCTCAATTTTTGTTTTTTTTTTCTTTTAGTGCAAGAAGTTGTTTTGAAAGATACACCGAGCGAGGCAAAAGATCCGGATGGCGGCTGTGCATGCTAGTTAATGATTTCTATCGTTACTTAAATTGAATGATTCCTATAGGGAATTTAGTTTACTTATCTGATTATTACTATTATTTTGTTTTTCCTGTTTTATAAAATTTGTAGTCTTTGACGACAGTTTTTTTTTACAAGGACAGCTATTATTTTTCTAATCAAAAGCGTTTAATTTCTCTTTTTACATTTTGCTTAAATTCGGTGCAATAATGAACGATTTCTATCAAGGTCCAAATAATTAATGTATTAATTGTCCATATTTATATACATATATATATATACATACTATATCTATACATACATTATATTCTTTTAATTTATTATTATTTTCTTCTCCAATTGTGATGCATTTATTTTATGTTGATTGTTGCAACGGAAATGTTGTATATAGTTATTTTATATTGAATTATGATGATGATCGATGTTGCGAGATTATTGCAATAATGGCAACATTATTGATCCATGCTTTGCACAAAGTATCAGAGCTTTCGTTGCGTTACGGATATTCATTTCACCATTTCTTTGGGTGCAAGCAATATTTTATATATCTATACATACGTAGAATTTTAGATATTGTATAAGGGGATTGAACTATCTAAAAGAAAAGTGAAACATATTTTATTTTACTTTTTTTAGAAAGCAATAAACATATTTTTTGTTTGCATGATCGTTCTGTTACGTTTCGAATATTATTATTATTTTTGTTCGTTCTCCATATAGACTCATCTTGTGGGATGTGCTGTTTTTCTTAACAATCTTTTGCAGCTGTTGACTTACAAACTCAACCTCAATTACAAAATCATCAGAGCGACTCGGAGGGGGGCTGTATGTGTTAAACAAAATCTTAGTACTATTAATATTTTCAAATCATATTTAGTTCAAGTCAAATCAAAGTAGCCTGAGCCTATGTTCATGTTCGAATAACAAAAAAGTATATAATTATTGACAAAAAAAAAATGCTATAAGTGTGTGATTAATTTGCATAAAAGCGGCACAGATTCTTTGTGGCATGAGGATTTATATTTAAAAAAAAAAGGATTTCAAGAAAAAAAAATAATATAAATATAATGAAACAAGTAATATATGAAACCACGGATTTAAGAATTAATTGCGGTTTTTTCTATGATTACGACTATTTAATATTTATGACGGTATGGAAGAATAATTCTGTAATTTTTCTATTGGAAAAAAAATACAACAAATCATTTTGCCTATTTAATAAAATGTTTTACTTCACATTACTAAATGCTCTTGTTCATTTATTACATTAACCATTATACGTTCCTTTTCTCCAAAAAGAAAAACAAATAATTCCACTGGAATTTTGACGAAATCTACTTTTTTTATGGTGAGTGAGTCACATTAATTATACTATATAACTAATTTGTAATTATACTAAAATTGCTGGTGTATTGCAGTTTGGGCCTTTTGAAGTTGCTGGTCTTCCGTTTTGTAGCGAATCGTAAGTGGAAGTGAGTTTATTTTCAATTAGGTCTGACCCATCCCATATACGTTTATTGACACCTAAAGTCTGGGCGGAACGGAATCCCGTTGACCCAATTCAGATACCACGAATGTATTGAATCAACCCTCTATTGATCCTGGGTTTGTCCAACTCGAGTTTAGGGAAGAACTGTATGTAAAAATCTACAGTAGTTTCCCCCCTTAGAAACTTGTTACTTCTCTCTTAAGTTCTAAACAATTATAATTGTATAGAATTGCGTAGACAAGTGTATAAAAATTATTTAAAATAGTTTAATTAGATTATATGTATTATTTGAAGCAATCGTTTGTATTTTATGGAGATTCGTAAACTAAATATATATTTATTATGTGTCATAAAAATTGATCAAACCTACAGTATTGACCTCAACTTTCTAGGAATGTCTCTTGATGAGGCCCAATGTTATTGATCCTGTCTACCCACGCGAATTCTTGATTTGAGTTTGTCATAATACTTGGAATTTAATACATTTCTATTTTTAAATTTCAAACAATTGATTTAATTTCAAATTTTATTTTGCAACAAAACTTCGTCGTTGCATAATTCAGATACTAGGATTTTCAGAAGCTGAGCTACAATCGACAATCATATTTAAAATAGGCAGATTTAACAACATACGTTATTGCTGTTTCAGTGGGTCATAGGTTATTGAACTCTGATCTAGATACTATTTAATGATACTTAAAATAATAAACACTAAGTTTATTTCTATTAAATATGTTTATTGTTTTTATTTGGATTTTTATGAATGTTTATGATAATTTACGATGTGTAACTTGATTTGCATACAAACAATTATTTGTATTATAACAATAAATGGTTATTATCATATTTGTATTAACACATTGTATCAATATTACAGTAAATTTGTGTTTTCTTTTCCACTACATCCATTATAACGTGTAAATAAAATTGATTTTTAATACTAAATGTTCGTATTAAAACATTAATTAAATTTATGGTAAGTTTCTTAAATCTCTATAAATTATATAGGATATAAGGATATTATTATTCAGCCCTTAAACGCCTATTCAAGTTGCCTAGGAATAACCAATATGCAGTGACTTGAGCAACAAATCAATACAATTTTATCATTTGCTAAGTATAAAATTTGGTAATAAAATAATAATACGTGTCTTATTTAGATGCATGAGTAATTGGCAGTAGTAGTTAGATTATTAAGGTAACAACAAAACGTATGCCTTTATGTTTTAATAGTTAGATGAATTTCATTATAAATATAATGAGTAATACGATTTAAGTATTTCCACATTTTGTTATAAATATAAATTAATATTTAAGAAAAATGATTAATTGAAGATTTAGAATTTGAATAAATTGAAATAGTGGAACCTCGCTTAACGAATTGTAAGGAAAATGACTCGCTTAACGAGGAGAAGACAAGTCCCGAATTGTGCGCCTGCTACATCATTATTAAAACTTGTGTACACATATTATGTGTATTTTTTATTATGTTTCACTATATGAGTAAAAATCCGGAAATTTTGGAACGGATTAAACTCGTTAAGCGAGGTTCCACTGTATAGTCTATAATTATTTATTCAACTTTTCTTATCTCTCGCTTCTAAATTTTCTGAAAAATGTTGTAGGAAATGAGGGTTGAAATAAAAGCGATTTGTAAAAACTAGAAAATATATTAAATTATTTTTTTTAATTTGGAAGCGTAATGCAAGAACTTTATTATTAACTGTTAATAATTTTCTGCTGGTTGCTTCCTAAAGGCATGCGGAAAATGCTCTCCAATTGAGTGGAAGATTCTTTGAAATTATTAATCCAACTATCACGGTCTACACATGTATATAGATATATATATGTATATATATATATATATTTAACATCTTTTCAACAAAATGCTAAAGTGCATGTGAATATACATTATAAATCTGTACAAAACATTTCTAATAGTAATTTGAATTGCTTACATATTCTATCACTCGCTTGAATTTGGACGAGCGCGATTTCGTTTTTATTTATTTTTACTTTCTTAAAATTCTCTTTTGGCACTAATAAAATGCTGCTCTTACAAACGCACACTTAGATACATACAATAAGTTATATAAAATATATAGTTTTCAACTAGAAACAAGCAGCAGTTTATTAATTCATCCGTATCTGAAGAATGAAGGCATCGCTGAAATCACGGAAAAAATCACGAAATCGCCCATCGATCCAAATCGCTGTAGACATCAATACACAAGCTCCAAAACAATAATAAAATAATAATAATATAACAAATAATTTCCATTTAATCAAAACAATACAATCGTTGGAACTGGTTATATAATAACGAGGGGGAAAATCAAACATCTTCGGAGAATTGCCCGCAAGAACTCTGTACCAGCAGGCATTGACAAGACAATTTAAATGTTTCACAAACGTTATTTTTTCTTCAAATATAATTTTTATATATATGTATAATTAAAAAAAAAACTGTTTACTATATCACTAAGTTATTATGTTCTTTGTTTTGTACCAAAAATCTAAGTCTATATACGTTATTCATCTATACTTCTGAATATGTTTCCAACATTAATATAAAAATATATATATTATTTATCTTTGTTTTTTTTTTGTTGCTTTTCATTTTAAACATAATGCATACACGGGGTGTGAAAGTCTCTTAAGGCGGACATCCTAATAAACCTAATAAATAACATTTCCGGGCAGTTTGTCTTGAGATGCTAATAATAACTTGTAAATGCCTCTCTGTTCGTTAACAATACGCTACAACTAACATATAAACAGACAAAAATAATAATATATATAACATTGAATTGGTAAAAAAAAAAACTATTAACAAACATAACTTTCGAGTTACAACAACAATTTTACGACATAAGTACTAAGGACATTTATAAACAAAATCAGTCAAATGTTGCGGTGCTTTCGCATATAGGTTTATACAATGGAAATGTGTTTGATAATTATAGTGGTAAATTTCAAAAAATTTGGTAAACGTTATAAAACAACAAAACGGAAATAAATAAATTGTAACGACCTTAAATTATTACAAAAAAATATATAGTGCATGCCGCGAAATGTTGGTATTCGGAAAATCCGTGCCTTGTAAATGGCAGCTTTCCACACCCGGTATATGTTTAAATATATATATTTTTTAAACATACTATATAATCTGTATATATATAATTCTTTGTTATTTTATTTTGTAATATTGTTTTTAGGTGTCGAAACTTGTACTCCAGCTGAACATATTAAAGGCTTGGCATATTGAGAATATCAATGTGATATAAAAAAATCTAGGAGCTCGAATACAAGTTTCTCTTACATTATTAATAATAATAATAATGAACTGAGGAAGAAACATATAAAAAAAAATAAAAACGAAAAATAACGAAATTTTTGCTTAGATTAACGAAATGAACAAAGTACGAATAAGGTACTAAATACAGCTAAAACAAGGTCCGTGAGAGTAATTCATATAAACCGAAACGTGCTATTTGTTTTGTTGACTAGTTCACACAATTCGCATCTAACTCAGAATGTAACGCGACGGTTTAAAATAAAAACAATACACACACAATGGTGAACCCTGCATTCGTAGAGAAACTTAAATTGCAAATCCCTGATTCAGCTTAGGTAGTTGCTTATATATATATATATGTGAATATACATACACATATTTCTTTACGGTTTATAATTTTCTAAAATAAACTAACAAATAAAATAATAAGGAAAAAAAATACTTAATTGATCAACAAGCTATTCCTCATTCACCATTTAATGGGATGGGAAGAAACAAATCTGAAATTTTGTAAATTTCATTTGCGTATCACACAACGAAAATCACAGTAGTGTAACAAAAATTAAATAAGGCTGCTTTCCATTCCTTTTGTACTGTAAACGTGTTTTCTTTTTCTCGTTTTACTTGATTTTGTTTCTTTTATAACGAAAACTTAAAAGCTACAACATATATCTATACATATACAAACATTTTCATTTATTTAAGTGTGCGATACGTATTTACTATTCTGGCTTTAGTGAAGTTATAATACATATGCTTGGATGGCAGTTGATGAGCGGAATTATTTAGAATGGGTTAAATTTAATCTATTTGGTCTTCGCTTTCCCGGATTAGGGTCGGCGACGTTAAACGGATTTAGTGTTATCACAAATTTTGGGAACAAATCAAATTAAACGGTAAAAAAGAAGATGTTTTGTATATGTATATATATAGAAAGAAACTAATCATAATATTAACACAAAAGGTATCACAGAAGTGCATAAAGAAAATGTGTTTTACTCTCATCCATTCTCTTTTTTTTTTAAGTACGACCTTAATCGCTTTCCCCGCTGGGAGTGGTGGAATCGTACACGCTGTTCGACTCTACGCTATCATTTGAGGATACACTGCTCCTAACATTCGAAAATTTATTATCCTCTTCGTCTTGTGGCGGAGAACTGGCCAGGCTTTCGTTGGAATCGTGATGTTGCACCGGCACTACGACAAAGCGCGAAGGCTTCTTCTCTGTCACTTTGGACACTACAAACCTGCTTCCCGGGATCGATGCTGAAGACTTCTTCTGCATGGTGTGCAGAGAGTCCGCCGGCGCCGATGGATAGATTGGGTCACAGTTCAAGGACACCTTTCGCGAGATCTGCATGGTCCAATTGAGCACCTCCTCATCACACGTCTGCTCCGCCTTCGATTTATTCACAGTGCAGATAGCGTTAATCTTCTTCACCAGCTCCATAAAACCCTGCGGATCCTAGGCCCAATACATTAGCGACATTGCTATTATTACCTACACTGAACTCAACTTACATCTGAATTTCTGCTGCTTGCATCAAGTTCCACGCGGGAAATCATTGTATTGGTCAGGGCGTGGCTAAGTTTTTCCAAACCTTCGTTACGAATCGCCCTGTTTCCTTTCAAATTAACTTTCTGAAAACCGAAATGCACGTCATTATTTTGAACATACAATATTTTATACTAATGACTAATGCAAAACCAGGTCTTGTAAACAAAACAAAGAAACAAAAAATAATCTAACAGTAAATAAGTATAATGATTAAGATAGATATGTAAATTAAATAAAGAATGTGTATTGTAACAAGTATCAAGTAACCGGAAAACAATATTCTGATTTCTCGTTATCTTACTGTTGCGTCAATTTTTATTTAAAACTATCAAATTATCAATGGTGTTATATCATTTCGAGATTAGCCTGTTTACTAAGATACACATATTACATTACATAGTAATGGACTTACCGTCAAGGACTTATTCATTTGAATAAGTTCTGCTAGCTTCATAACACCCTTGTCGGTTAAAACGGTAGATTGCAAGCCCAGCCAATTCAGAGAAGTCGTTTTTTTAAGGCCAGACTCCATCGCCGTGACCACGGCATCAGTCAAATTATTGTACCCAATGTTTAGGGTGTGCAAAGTTCTGCACTTTTCCTATAATCAAACATTAGCAATAAGTCAATTGGATCTGAAATCCTTAACATCTTTAACACAGATTGCTCTTACAATAATATTAGAGATTATTGGTCCACTCTTCTCTGTAATTTGGTTATTAAAAATCACGAACACATTCAGTCCGCAAATGTCGTCGTCTTGATTGCACAGCCCTTTGGCGAGCACCTCAAGGCCTCTGTCACCAATAAAATTATTGCTGATGTCCAGCACCTTCAGGTCATGGTAGTTACTCAGAAGCTTGCCGAGGAGTTCGGTTTCTCTGGTATAGAGGCCGGTCTGCGGCAAATACAATTCGGTGATTGATTTGCTCACTTGTATTGTGTCCACTGGAAAATTATAATTCATTGAAAATCGAGTTCGATGCTTTAAATAAATATTATTACCTAAGTGAGACATTGGCGAGAAACCAATGTTGCAGTTACTCAGCTTTAGAGTGATCAGAGTATCGTTAACCTTGATATTTTGCAGAAGCATTTTTATATAATTATCGTTAAACAGGAAGCCCTCCAACGTCAATGATTCTAAAACAGAGCTCTTTGAGAGCATGCTGCAAAAAGTGTTCCACGTATCCGTCTCTTTATAGAAATCAGTGGTAATATATTCTGAGGCACTGTCATAGTATTCCAGGATGTTCAAAAACTCCCTGATGCTTTCATCATTGAATTTGCAATCTTTAATTTTTATTGTTTGGAAATTGGACAATTTCAAGAGGTCTTCTAGAGTTTCACATACTTCCATGGTCAAATTTATACCAGCCAAGTTCAATACTGCAGAAAAATTGGTATTGTTTTTGATTTCCTACAAATCAATTTGTATAATATATGTGTGATCTCAGAGAGTATTTTACTTACAATAATCTGATTTTTGATGGTATCTAGTTCAACAGCATTGTGTCTTTTGCATGATTCTTGGTAACAAGTGATCATCTTTTCAGAAGTGGTCTCGTCTGAAAGCATTCTACAATCAATACCATGAAATGTAGGATATTTGACTTTACCTAATTTATATGGTGTCTTAAGATCAGGTTCTTTGTAAATGGCCAAGACTCCAAAGTCAGTGGGAAATGATACACGTCTATGGAGATCAGTATTTGCTGGAGTTCTGCGCAAGATGGAGAGCAGAGGCTTGTCCAGATGCAATAAATTCATGTCACAGCTAACATTTTGCGATGTGCAGCAGATGGTAGGTTCTAGTGGTTTTATGAGACTATCTTCATCAACAGAGATAGCCTTGTCCAGAATATTCTTGACACCATGTGGTTGCTTAATAGTATCATCTAAAACAATGATTTTTAGAAGGTGTGTCTGTGCATATTATATTTTGTTTACCAATATCCCAGATATCAGTGTCAACCTGAGATGTTGAAGCAGACGAGTGATGTGAACTGTCTTCACCAATTGGACTCTCATTTATGCTTTCGGTACCACTGTCAATAAGTATTGGAGGGTCTCCACAGTCCTCTCCAGCAGCCTTCTCCATGTCAACCACTAAATAGTTCCTCTCCTGTGTCATATGTATACAAATAGTATTATGTATTTGCTATTAAATGTCATTTTACTTTGCAAGAACGAGAAAAAAAAACAACGAAAAAACAACACCTAAAATAATATCAACTTCGTTGGACGTGGCTTTTGCAGACAATCTTTCTACTTTCATTTACAAATTCTTCTCGAATTGGCACTCGAAGAGCATCAAGTAAATACATAAAATACTTTTGTTTTTGGAGACTTCACCTGAAGTTCAACATGGACGAATCACTTGAAGGTGCTCGATGTTACTAACTTCACTTCGTTAAATCCGCCATTATAATAGGCTGTTGCTTTACTTAAACCATCGACCGGTAGATGTAGTCAACTGTAAATTCATAAAAGAAGAATGTTTCTTATGTTTGCGTCTTATACCATTACTTTAAATATTTCTCATTTCCTATAATTGTGTTTTGAAAATGTTATTTATTTGCATACCAAAATCAATGTTGTTTACCAATGTAGTTCAATGTTTTCACTATTGGTGCGCTGAAGCACGAATAAAAATTTAAATATCAATAAATTCAAATACGAGAAATAAGATGTATTACAGAAGCGCATGGCATATGCAATTGCCCCACCTAAAATAGATGTATTGATCATTCGAGTCGTCTGAGTATTGATTGCAATTTCAGCGAATCCCAGCTGCACTCCCACAATGCAAGCTGCAGCATCTCTCTGCACATAGCAACCAAAACATCATCCGGAATTTTCCTTTGTTCCAGCTTCTGCACGCACGCTCTGTGCAGCAGATCAATACAGCTGTTTTCCAGGTCGGAGACATATTTTTGTAGGGTCTGGGAAGGAAATGTGGGATAGGTTAGTTTACCAGGTTTATCTCGATCCAATATTCATGAATGCTAAGAAATTTATAGTTATTATATGCATTTGTGCTGATGGCAAAGAATTCTATCTCCAAAATAAAAAGTCATAGATGATTCATTCTGGATCATGTTATTCAATATATTGTGTTACATAAGTCGTTTAGATTTATCTCCTCTGTTTATCTATTAAGTAAAATGAGAGGAAGCATGTTTACCATTTGTAAATAAATATACTACCAGAGCAGGAATAGCCCATGTATCAGTTGACTTTTTTGAAATAATATTTATTTATTTTGTTCTTTTTATTTCTGTATATGTTGTTTTTGTACGACTGATGCAATAAACATTATTATTTTTATTATACTATTGTAAAAAAATCCGATAGCGATTTATGATCATGTTTTCAATGGCTAATTACTAACATAAAATTTAAGGACATAATAAAATCTGCATACGTATATATTTGTTTTATGCTGTAGAGTGTTTGATTACAAATATGGAAGCAAGTTCAGCAGTGTTTATTTATTTTACGAATGAGGTAAACTAAGAAAAGGATAAACATAACGTGAAACGAAATCAATGTTCCAGAAATCGAATAATTTACAATAAATTATGTTAGTAATGTACGTAACAATGTTTAACTTGATAATCATGTTTTGTCAAAATTTCTATATAAAATAATATATGTTAATATAATAAAGTACAAGTTGTTATAATGCGATGAACTTGTAAGAAAATTAATGAAATTACATATTTTTATCTCAAAAACTAGTAGTTCCCATTGCAAATAGTCGTATTATATATTATATATTGAATACAGGAAGAAAATGTATGGAAATATTCCATCCGAAATGGCGTCGTTCGTAATGCGCATCAGTACGTGCGGGAATGATCGAGAGGGGATGTTGGACTAGCCGGTTCAAGTCAGTTGAAGTTAGTTATAAAACGACGCCCTTTGTGGTTGTATGTACTGAGAGTGCATTGCTGTAAATTTACGTTTGCTAAATCGCAGTGTTCAGTGTTTAATACATTGTTCTTCCCATTTTCATAATGTCTAAAGGGTGCATTGCGGTGGCACCCATAGGTGACAACATCGCTACTCTGAACTCTTTCAACGACTTCTGCAGGGCTTGCGAAGGGATCAAAAACTCCCCGGATATAGTTGGTAAAACAACAATTTTGCATGAGTATATGCAGAGCGTTAAGAGCAAAGCCAAATTATGTAACCGGGATGTAGATAAATCGCTGTTTCCCATAATCAGGCTGTTGTTGCCTCAATATGAGAGACATCGCAATCCCTATCAATTACAAGAAAGTACATTCATAAAAGTACTGATCAACAAGTTGTCTTTGACTGCTGAAGAAGCAACGCTATTGAAGAAATATAAAGATATTCATACAGCCAGAAAGGCGGGCGACTTTGCAGATGTCGCATCTGAGATGCTGAGCAAGCGTTTTTTCGATAAAGGCTCTATGAGTATATATGAACTTAACAGTTATTTGGATAACATATCGTTCTATTCGACTAATAAAAGTAAATATCTATTATCCTACAAATCTCATCAACTAATTAATAATTGACATTTTTTATAAATGTAGGTATTCAAGAAGATACTATTTTGAGTGTAATATCAGCAACTACGCCATTAGAGCAAAAATGGTTTATAAGGATCATCTTCAAAGATCTTAAATTGGGGTTGGGGTATAACAAAATCTTAACTAGCCTTCATTGGACTGCACCAAAACTATTTAACCGTTTAAGTAGTTTGGAAAAAGTAAATATTCATTAATAAAATTGAGTATTTATTAAATAATATTAATTTGTAGATATGCACCATATTGTCTGCTGAGAACCCAATAGAAGGTGATATTGCAGTTCAATTATTTTCATGCGTTCGCCCTATGCTATCAAAGCGATGCTGCAAAGATATTTTTTCGAAGCTGTTTGGAAGAGAACACGTATACTTCATGGAAACAAAATATGACGGCGAAAGATTCCAGATACATTATAATCATAATGTTGTAAAGTTGTTTTCCCGAAACGGCTTTGATTTTACGAGCAAATTTCAAGAGTTGGTTGATGTTCTGCCATCACTTATAAAGTCGAATGCCAGGAATTTCATCATAGACGGAGAAATGATGCTTTGGAATAAGGCCGAAAAAAAATTCGCGTCTAAAGGTATATTCATTTAAAAGATTGGAAAATATTTTAACATACTCATGTTTAAATTAGGTTATCGTGTCGATGTTAAAAACTTAAAACCTGAAGATGAATATCAAGCATGTTTCGTCAGCTTTGATTTGATCTTTTGGAATGGATATCCAGCGATTGATAAGCCTCTTTTCGAAAGAAAAATCTTTCTGGAAAATATGATTGAAAATAAGGAAGGTGTTTATCTTTACTGTGATTACAGTGTAGCAAAGAAGAAGGCTCATGTCATTAATTTTATGAATGAGGCAATGAACAATGCTCAGGAAGGCATTGTAATGAAACGACATGATTCCAAGTATTTGCCCAACGAGAGAACGGGATGGTACAAGCTAAAACCAGACGTTAATTATTATATATCATATTTATAACTAATTATACTTAATGATTATTCTTTTAGTACTTTGACGGACTCGTAACTGATCTGGATTTAGTTGTAATGGGTGGCAATTATAGCGATTTGCGCTCTGAAGCATATTGCAGTATGCAAGTTGTGCATTTTGTTTGCGGTGTTTTCAATGACGAGAGCAGTAAGACAGTATCATGTATCCAGAAAATAAATTCCTAATCATTTAATGTTACAGGGAAAGTTACAGCGTTCTGCAGAATATCAGCTGGTTTGTCTCAGAAAGATTTGGAATTGATTAACGAAAAGTTGGGACCATATTTTAACGATGACTTCGAGGATCCCGAATTCAGACATTCCAATTTAGAGTTCGGTATAGTGAGGCCGGACGTTTGGATTGATCCTCGCGTATCCTGCGTTTTTGTTGTTCGTATTATTTTAATCGCTTGTGCTTTCCAAACCCGATGTTTGAATAATAATAATTTAAAAAACATCAAGTTTGGAAAGCCCTGTGTGTGAAATATTAGATTCTAACTAATATCTCGTAGGCGAGAGGTACCGAATTGACTTTAGTCAAAGCTGGTCACCCCCATTGCAAAACTGATTATACTCTACGTTTTCCAAGAGTCATGAGTATAAGGTTTGATAAAATCTATACCAGTTGCTTAACTGTATTCGATCTGATGTGTATGACTGACTCATGCTTGCCTGTTATTAAGACAACAAAGCAACAATTATATTTGGAAGATATAAATCAGCCATTTAAGAAGAACACACGTCTTCAAACACAGATCTACTCCGAGATATTGCAAGGCTTGGAGTTCTTGATTTATAATGGCGGCGTGGATAAATATCGCCTTGATATGGAGCATTTAATAGTGCAGCACAGCGGTCGTGTTGTTGAAGTTGAAGGACCAACGACATTTTGTATCATTGTAGGAGATCCATTAAATTGGAAGAAGTATGAAAATGACAGTGAAACTGATGTGGTTAAAATGGAATGGTTGCTGAGGATTGTAGCTTTGGGCAGATATGCCCCATTTGATCCGGAAGAAATCTTATATGCATCGCCAATAACAAGACGTTCATACAAGTGTTTTTACGATGAAACTGGGGACTCTTTCACTGAGCCGGTGAAGATTAAGTCACTAGAAACCTTTATCTTAAGGTCTGATCATATGGTAGGAAAATATACTCTATCTAATCATACCTCATTTAATACTTATAACTTTAGCGTCTTAACGCTATGGAAATTGCGCAACTGAGAGCGGAAATCAATCCGCCAGTTAGAACTGACAAGTATACTGGGATCATAGCTTACTTTGACAAGTATGCTGTTTTCAATGTGCCAGAGTCCAATGTCTCTGCCTTCTATACAGCCATGGAGGCAGATTTCTTATTCCATGGTGGCCGTATCTGCAAACTAACGGAACACACCAAGTATATCATCGCTGATACGTGAGTGCTGTTTTCCCATCTAATATTATAAGTACAGTGAAATGAAATTCACTCAATGCTGATTTTATATTTCAGTCAAGATGATAGCCGCGTAAGAGCCATTGATTATTTCCTGTCCGACAACAGAAATGAGACAGCTCTAATGTTTCACACTCACGATGAACTTCTTAAACACATTCGTGAGGAAACTGCCAAAGCCAGAGCCAAAGTTTTAACCGAATAAACTTTTGCTAATAACTAAAGCAAAGTTTGAATATGCGTACATATTCTCATTTTCAATGTTTTTATTTGCTTTCTTATTATTCATATGAAACGTAGATCATATTTGACTCAGCTCGCATAATCATATTATGACATTTGGCCAAAAAGAACCGAATCAGTATTTCCAAGATTAACTGATCTTTCGGTACAGAAAAAAGTATACAATTTCATTTGTAATGTTATTATTGCTAAAAGCATCAACATTCTTTGAAATGTCTGAAAATTATATGTATTCCATACATCAATTGAAAAAAAAAACTAGAAAAACTAGATCTTCAATCTAATAACAATAAAACTTTGTTATTTAATTTTTCAAAATTTTGGATAATATCCATTGTTTAGGAACAGTAAATCCTTCAATTATTATTGAAACCAGTCGATAGACTATAAATATTTTATATTTATTATATGCATTATATGAGTCAGTAGATATTAAATATTTTGCTTGCACATGTTAACAATTATAAACTAATAATGCGTAGAGCAAGTTTGCTATATAGATGTAATCATTATAGAAGCTTCTACTAATATCTTAAATAGAAATATGTGTCGAATTATGATTAAGGTAGAGATGAAATCTCGTAAAAGTATTAGCTTAAGATAAGTATTTCATTGGAATAGTAGTAATGTCCCTTGAATATCAACTAAAATTTTAGGAATAAGGGGTACTACAACCCCTTATAGTGTATCCCCTGACTGTCGAATTTTACTTTTAACCAAAGATGAAAAAAAAAAACTTTATATTTTATGAAATTTTTACAAAGCGTATTTAAAGAGAATATATTTTATAGTTGTATTTCTTATTTTATAATAATATGTTTAAAATATTTTTGCATTTAACTTATCTATTATGTTCTGAAAACTTTTGGAACCGGCGAATTAGTTTGATTTACATTCACTTATTAAACCAAACTATATAACTATGTGTCGTTGTTCAGAATAAATGTATCACTAAATGTAAAACCAAAAAAATTAAATAAATGAAAAAGACAAAAAAAAGTAAACTTTGGTGTTTGAAAATACCCGTTCCTTCTAAAAAAAAAAAACTCACCATCAAAGTAAATTGGATAATTTCTATTCATCTTGTGTCCATTTACTATTGAATAAATTATTTTAAACCCATTAGCAATTATTTAAATAACGCATCATCATTTATTGCCTAGTTAACATTCCTGTCGCATGTTTGCACAAGAAAAACGCACTTTGCAAAGCTCAAGTGTCGGCCGTTGTTTCTCCTTTCCTTATATAATTTTATTTTATCTGTTTTTTGTCGTTTGAATTAAATGAATTTGCATCGATGTAACGAGAATAAGTCATGGCATTCAAATTTATTCGGTTTTTGTGGAATTATTATTCCAATTGCGATGCGACTATTTTAAAAGATTGCTCATAACAATAAGATTTATGTGACAGCCATCATTTTATCAGACATCTTCAATCACAATTCATTTGAACACTTAAGGAAAATTCTTGTTAACTATCATCAAATTATTTATAAATGATGATTTGTGTCAGGAAATTTCAAGTTATAATTATATAAATAACTATTTTACACAGTAAATTGTCAACGTGAAAAACCACAAATTTACTTGAACTGCTTAATAAAATATGTATTCGCATGATATTAATTAACCTTTTATTGCAATTTCTGAAAGATGTAAATTATTCATTGCTTGAAACAGTCACATCAATAAAAAACAAAACAAAATCACATTATATTTGTGATGTAATATATGTGTGGGCACTTATTTATTTGTTATTTACAAATCACATTATGAATATTCATATCATTTGGATATACATATGATAAACTAATTGAAATTTATACATTTGATCAGAATATATGTTATTTTGAAGTTACATTTTTGTAGCTTATATAATTCCGTACGAATGGAATTTTTTCATTTGTTTGTCTGTTTTCAATATATAATTATATAATTTTGTACTCGATGAAATGTAATTTTATGTTATTTATCAAAACACAATTGCTTTAGTGAATTTCTTCAATTTTTAAATTCGTTATCCCAAAACCAACCAAACTGATGTTTATCATTTACTTTAGCAAAAAGTACAGAAAAATAGGCTTCAACGTCTTTTGCGGCCTCGACTTCTTTGATGGAACACTGCTTTAGTACCTTGCTGATTTCTTTTTGCATATATATATTTATATTTGAAATTCAATTATTTATTTCTAAAAACGTGAGTGTATTTTCTACAAAATTCAGGATTTACGTTGCTAAAATTACAGAGTAAACATGTTTAGTAAACTTATTGACTAATCAAAATCATAGCTAATTTAGTGGAAAAAATAATATTTTCTAAATATATGGCTGGTAAATAATAAAAGATACTTTGTCCACAGGATGCGAATAAAAGTATGCTAATCAATATGACATTCGGGTGTTCTATGAAACGATAAATTTGTAATAAGTAACATACGTCATCCAGACAGTATAAATAAATTCATTCTACATGAATTTTGTTCGTCGTTAAATAAATGATTTTTGTTTTGACCTAATGTTTACACTGGCATCACAGGAATTGCCCAAATACATGCAAAATTGTTAATATTTGTATTTTACATTAAATTCATCATTAAAAACACAATGAAACAATTATTTATACGAGTAAATCGAATTAATTGGAAAAAAAACTTTAACTTGTTTATAAAGTGATAAAGTTAGTGATCATACGTACATATTCTATGATGCTTGCCTCCACAGTTTAATAACATTTATAACAAATTTTTATTGACCTTAGATCACAAGGACATTGTCTTTATCAGTTTGCATCTTTATTCAATTCTAGCTAATCCATCTGGGAAATAATTATAGTTCCAAATACTATTTAGTTCCGTACATATTTTACAAATTCCTGCAGACAAAACCTTGAATTATAAACAACGGGATTCCCTATGTGGCGTGTTTTAATGCAATATTACATAAACACAAAAAAAGCCATCGACCTTTGCTTCAATTAATTATCAAAACTTAATATAATAAATTAATCATAAATTATAAATGTTTACCGTGTAGCTGGATTATGGTAAGTCCCGCTGACATCAGTGTCGCATAGAAGAAAATGCAAAACAAATTACTAAAATTACCTTTATTTAAAAAAAATATATATACGTTTTCCGATGAAATAAAAAATAAAATAAAGTTTTGTGATTCAACCGTTCCAGCAAATGCTTCTATTTTTCATGCTTTCCAATGACAAGGATTGACCAGATCTGTTTATATTACATTTAATTGGGCTGTGGCATTTTTAAGGTCGATAAATATGTTATAATTTTCAGATTTTATTTGTTTATCCAGTGTTTTTCGTTGCATCTAAGATTGCATAAGAATAAATAGATTGGATAATCAGAAACTACTTTCAAGTTGTTTAATATTAGGGGGCACATATTATTATTCTTCCGAATTTAAACTTTGCTGCAAAACTAGTTTCATTATGATTATGGTTTCGGTCAACGGAGCGATATTTTTTTTGTTGTTCCACACGGGGAATACCGATCAAAAAACATTGACCCGTTTACTATGTATTTTTCATCGTACATAACAAGTGCTTAGACACGCTGTTAGATTCTTCTTTATAGATATGTCCGGTTTTACATATGCTGTGCCAATTGTACTATTCATAATGCTTATTTTAATTCTAATAAACTTGCTTGTTATTTTCCGCACTTAAAAGTCCCCTATTAAATTTACTATAATTATTGTATTTTCTCTTTTCAAATTACCAGTATATTTTAGAGTATGATAATCGTGTCTTATCACAGCCTAAAATATATTTTGCGGAAATACAAGATTACGATAGTCCGACGAAAAAACAAAACACCCAAAATTTCAGATAATGTTCCATTTTATTCGCGACCTACATTCGTTCGTAAAAGTTCTACTTTATTATTAATAATCAGGCTATGGGTCAATACGGATGACTGTGTCTTTAAATAGATATAAAGGATGTGTAGATCTTTTCCAATAAAATTCCCAATGAGGCTGTTGTTATTTATTCTCGCCTATTAACCTTTCTTGTCCACAACCAAAAAAATGTCGCAACTCGCTTCTGGTTGAATCACAATCCATATACCAACGAGTTGATCTTGAATATACCATTAATATACCTGTAATTACAGAAATGACAATTGTATTTTAAATGTAGACAAATTTAGTTCTTCTTACACTTATAAACTAATTATATGCAAATTATTAAGTGTAATTTTACTTTTTTCAAAATACAGTTTCTAATTTGAGTTGTCTCTTCAGAATGACTAGCAAATAAAATTGTTTATTTGGGTTAAGCGATACTATTTCAAAAAGTAAACATTGTACTGTCAAAGATTTTCGGTTGATATTATTGGTGATAAAAAGTTACACCAATTCCACAAATATGTGAAAATTTTAGAAATATGTATGTGGGGATAACCATTGACATTGCTGTTATTATTATTTTTTCCAATCGAATGAAAAAGAATTCTTCGAAAATGCGTGACCCATATTGGCGTGTATATTTTTATTAATAGCCTTGGGTCAAGACGGTTGACCGCGTCCTTAGAGATAAAGGATATGCATTTCTTTTTTCAACAAAATTTCCGATGAGGTTGCTGATGCGTTGAGGTTGTTCGATCGAAGGTAGAGATTAATACAAGTGACAAAGGTTTATAATATTTGTTGGAAAACTTTGGGAAAATTGAATTTCTTTGCGTGTTGTGCGAGTTCAGAAGCTTTGCATTTGTATTGCATGGCTACTAGCATTAATGTGAGTGTCATTAGGAAGATTGGTATGTTTGGATAGTGATTTGTTTGTTTTGTGTGCATTTGTGAATTCGTCGAAGACCGGGGGGAAGCGTTCCTTCCCGATGACTAGAATTCCATTGCGTTAGCAGCAGATCCGATGCGGATTGCACAAATGTACGAGTGTTTGTGATGGATGCTGTTTGGCCTTCTTGTTGTCCTTCTGCGTCATAAATGTTGAAATAATTCATTGATTCAAGCTACCTGTCCAGCGCGCTCGTTATATACGCTCGGGCAATCCGCACACATTTTATTATCCGGCAGACGTCGCGAGTGAACGGACATCAGTATTCAATCTTACTTACGGCAGTGTACTTTTGCATACGGAGCTTCTTCCAGTACTTAGGACGACAATCCCAAGGATAAGATGCGGATCGCCTTCGCGGTTGTAGTCGTCGTCTTCGTCGCCCTGTGTGGCATCTCGAAGGCCGAAGGTTTGTTACCACCTACCTACCATCCAGATCCGCGCAATAGTTTTCATATCTTTTCGCTTCTTTTTAATTGTTCCTTTTTATTTCCTTCATTATAACAAAACTTACGTAATCCCGCGTTCGTCGATTCGAGTTTCGCAAAGACCCGAAGCGATAACGTACGTAATCCGCTCTGTTCCGAAAACAACTTAAGGAATGAATAAAATGCGCTTAAGAGTTAGCCGGAACCAGGGAATTCCGGTTTCGTATACGAAATTGAGTGAATAATCTAATTGAATTAGCTCTCTTAGATGGATCATCGTGCATAACACCGTACCAAGAGCCTGGTATTTGCAAGAGTATCAAGCAGTGCGACGACTTGCTGAATCTGCTCAGGTCGCGCAGTGGCGATCCGGAGGTGCGAAACTATTTGATCAAATCCTCTTGTGGTTACGTCGGTACCGACCCTCTAGTTTGTTGTCCAAAACCAAACTACCAGACTAGGGCCACCACGCAGAAGCCTAGTGGTGGCGGGACCATTCATACTAGTGGTGGTATAATCACAGGGAATACAGGCAATGGAGGTTTCCCTGTGAACCAGGGAACTAGTACAGGTACCAGTGGAAACGGAGGAATCACCGGCGGAAATAGTGGCGAGACCAGCGGTCGTAATCCAACGCCGGTGCCTGTGGTTGAGACTCCCAATGATGGCTTCCTCAGACCTCCGCATTGCGGTCATAGCAACCACAGCAATGATAGGATTGTCGGCGGAAAACCAGCTAAATTGGGTATGTTGTTGTTGGAAGTGGTCTTAGTGCAAAATTAACTTTTGGATTGTCTAGGCGAATTCCCTTGGATTGTAGCCTTAGGTTACAGGTCTAACAATCCGAATCAACCCTACTGGCTGTGCGGAGGCAGTTTAATCACGGAAACACATGTATTGACTGCTGCTCATTGTGTTCACAACAGACAGACTTTGTAAAAGAATCATAACTTGCTATTAAGATGATTGACTAAGTTTGTATGTTATTCCAGATACGTAGTTCGTGTTGGTGATCTGGATCTTTATTCGGATGATGATGGGGCACATCCAGAGACTATACCGCTCGTCAAGGCAAAGGTTCACGAAAAGTACAGCGCCACAGAACATACCGACGATATCGCAATTCTCACTATGCAACGCAAGCCCAATCGACGTAATTACTGTTATATTATCAAGTCTCATGACCCTAAACCATCTTATCGTTTGCAGAATCTGCGTGGCCTATCTGCTTACCAGTTGATCCTGCTATGAGGCAGAAGAACTACGATCGTTTTAACATGTTCGTAGCCGGATGGGGTAGCACGTACTACAGTACGTAAAGCGGTCGTTATACTTTGCAGATTTCTAATTTGTACTTTGAATGTTCGCAGAGGGTCCAAGCAGTAATACGTTGATGAAGATATTCATTCCTGTAGTACCTCAAAATCAATGCAAAGCTAGCTTTGATTCGTTGCCTGCCGCGAAGGTCACCATTGACGAAAGAGTTCTGTGCGCGGGAATGCTCAGCGGCAAAGATTCCTGCCAAGGAGACTCCGGCGGTCCTTTGATGCTTGGTCACACCATAGACCAGTTCTATCAGATCGGTATTGTCTCGCTTGGTTACAAATGCGCCGAGCCAGGTTTCGCAGGAATATACACTAGGGTCACCAATTACATAGAATGGATTGGCGAGAACATCAAATAATCCACATAATTATCTACCGTAACAATTATTATTATTATTCGATCAAAGGACTATTATTAATGTTATTATTTTATTATTTTTATACGATTCTTTTTTTTTAACTATTCTTATAATTATCGCCAATGTTTATTGAGCACCGACCAACGGTGCTGCTGATCCGACCATACGTGATTACGTAATTCGAAGTGATTGATTTTCGTACGTTGACGATGATTCAATCAATGCATACACGTTCTGCTGTTGTGCGATGTGTATTTTTTTCCTTCGTTCTTTTGAAACACACTATTATGCAATGTACATTTTGTTCATAATTATACTAATTATATAATCGTCGCACAATTGGAATTGCATGCGTTGGATTTTTCCTCCAACTTTATACTTGCTCGCACATAGGTAGGATTTGTTTTCATTGTTTGTAAATCGATTTGATAATTACTTAATACGTTTTTTTCCATTCAAAAATTGTATTACAAACATTAATAGAGCGCTCAAAATTCGGACATAGTTTGGTTGCCTATACCACATCATGACAATATTATTTTTTTTTAAATGTGATACGAAAATTTTAAGTTTAGCTATCTATGTTAATTAGTAAAACAATTCTTATAAGACAAACAAGTATTTAAATATATTTATTTACACTTTAAATTCGTTTGAATTATTTCTCCTAAACTATATGATTTCAAAACATAAAAAAAGTTTTAAAGAAATACAATACAATAATTATTTATTACAGTTATTTTATTCTGATAAATTGTTTTTTCATTAGATTTGGATTGATATACAATTTCCATGAACTTCTCATTATTATAATGCTTGTGGTTTCTTTACGGTAATTAAATAGAAATGCAACTATTAAATCAATTTATTTTAATTAGATTGGTAAAATGAATCATTTTTGTCATTATAATTTCAAATTTCATTATTTTTTTTATAGAATTGTACATGTGCAGCTCTTCAACAATCCTGATCTCCTGGTATAACCTTTGCTGTAACCATAGTTCTCATTAATGAATTATTATCGATTAAACTTCATGTATACACGTTATAAAGTGTACAATATTACACGTCTTTGAAGCGAATATACGACAAAGTTCAACAATGAATTGATTACTTAAAAATAAATTGCGTCTGCGTTCTAAATTTCAATTAATCTATGTAAAAAAAAGCAGAAGGTAACAAAATTAAAAAAAATATTTTGCAGACACATTGTGTTAGCTAATTACAGCACAGATCAAAATGGTATAAAATGAATCATCGTCTCCTGTGCGGCTGCTTTGTTATTTTTTAGTCGTAGTGAAGACTGGTTTTAAGTTCAATGTCATTTTTGAAAATAATAAATTAATGTGATTTTATTGAAAAAAAAATCGACTGTATGTACTATATAGTTATTGGTAGGATAAAAGGTGAAATGTAATGAAAACAATGGGATTGTGTTTGTAAATAACTAGAATATATTTTCGTGTTTCTTCAAATTTGTAAAATGTAAACATAACATAAATAATAAAATCACAAACGTTGTTGATTACTGTGTGGAGAAAAGAGGAAATTATATGTAGCAGTCGGAAACGTCATAAATATGAATCAATTTATGTGTAATTATTCATGATTTCTCTGCAGTTCTCTCTCGTTCAATCGCAGATCTTGTTGTGGTCCAACGCTAGTGGCAGTATAGCCGGGGACATCGCGAGTGCAGGATTGGCGACGGCGATGATGTTATCTCCACTGGCAGCGATCACTTGTACTTTCGGGGAAAACTTGCTAGACTCTTCGAAACCAGCATCGTTTGCTTCATGCACAGTACTCTGAAATTTAACAGTACTCCTAAATTCATTGTACCGATATACTATATAATACTAACCTGACAAATGCTATTCTCAGTCTGATAATTCTCCGGCTCATGTCCACTCACCTAAATCGCAAATTAATAAAATGGTAACAAAAAAAAGAAAAGTCTTATACCTGAGATGGTGAACTTGAGTTGCTAAAGGAAAAGTGTGAATCAGTCTCATCATCTGTGACCAAAGAGGAGCACCTTTGGTTATCTCTGCAAGAAGAAGAAGAAACCAGAGGGAAACGGCAACACTTGTGATTCATCTTATCTATGTTATAAACTTATAATTAATTAGAAATATAACTACAAATACCTATGTTGATGTGATTTGGGGTGATACAACATGATTGAAGGCCTCGTGTTTTCGTCACCTTTTTCCTGCAACAAAGTACACCCTTCAGTTTCGCCAACAACAGTTTCCCGTTTTCTTAGGATGCATGCTAGCAAATTCTTACCTTGGACTAGAAGACCTGTTTGCTAGGAACAAAATCATATAAAAAGCGTAATAGCGTGTTGGGTGACGTTCTGTATATTATTTGCTGCTATTAACTTACCTAGGATTACTATACAAACGAACTAAATTTAAAGGCTAAAAGAAGAGTGTTTAGTTTAGGAGCGCATTCTAGCCAGGAATTCTGCTCCGGTTTCCTGGCTAAGATGTTTGTCCTTTAGGTGTTATAAGTATAAAATGAGTAAGAAGCGAAGCCATGTATTAGTGTTTGATGGTGTTAATGATAAAGGGAGGTGTGCTCTTGGATCGAATGGATTGGCTGACCTGCCTCTTGACCTCGTCGCTCTCGGAGTCGGTGTCAAACCTTTGGCGCTTCGCTGGCGGCAATTCGCTGTCTATACTGGAAAGTCTCGTGGTACCTCTTCCGGTGCTAATCATCTCCATCAAATCACGTTCATGGTTTGCGCTTCTGTTCATGTAAATTGTAGAATAACTGTGAAACGAAGAGTTGTTTTAGAAATCATAATCATTTGGTTGATTTCAGAAAAAACTTACTGTGTCTTGGAGTAGTGACATCCTGAGTCTTTGACTACTTGTCTTGCTAAAGGAAACAACTCATCGCGACGCGTCAACAATGCTGGGATGAAACGGCAGATTTGAGCTGCGGCTTCATTGACGGAAACTTCGTGTAGCGTCAGCGGCTTTTCAGGGCGTCGCTTACAGTCAAAACGTCCATAAATTGCAGCATAACGACGAATTTCGTCCATACGACGAGGATCTGTTTCTGGCATCGACATAACTAACTGTGGAAGGAAGGAAGATTTTAAATTAATATCGATTGGTAATGATGTTGATTGTTATAGTACCTCCAATTCTTTGCACATCTTTTTCTTAGTGTTTTGTGGTTTGGGTTCAAACTGAGGTAGATGTTTGCTGAGACGCTCAGCGGCTACAGCTAACTTGCTTATTTGGGATTCTAGTAATATGGGGGTGGAGGTTAATGAAGTGCTGCTTCCGGGGCTGGAGCTGGAGGATGGTGGGCACGAGGGTGTGTCTAATGGGGAATAAGGCCTCTTGTTGATGGAAAGCCCAGGACTCTGGTTGAGAACTTCTACTGGAGATGGGGAATAGACGATGGTCGTGGAATCTCCACTGACGGGTTCCAGGCAATAGTAACCACCGGTAACGCGCGGACTGGATAACTCGATCTCGAAGTCTTCTCCCGGTATCAAAGGAATCTTGAACTTTCCAGGATTGGTTACCCATTCCTGGAGAGATTTCTGCAGTCGCCTCACATGTAAGGGCTTTGAAGCCATACCGACTAAGGACATGATCTCCAAGAACTCCTCTTCACCGGCATCGCAGAGTTGTTGAACATCGTCACCACCCATCTCCAGAAGAGTATCATAGTAGTATAAGAGAGACGCGTTCTGCATCACCCTGTATAGTTGAAGTTCCGCCAGATTGCTTGGAAAAGTAGTAGGGAACACTGAAAGTAGAAGAGAGGCATATACAAAATTGAACTTAATTACATTTTGATTATTAAAATGTTTTTATGATGTAGTTGTGTAATATTAGAGTCTAGGAATAACAAGTTTTTATCTATCTGGTTTTCTCAAGGTATTCTTTAGCTTCATGTGTGAGTGCGAGTTTTTTTTAACACAGACACACACATATATAATCTCTTCTTTGGCTTCTTCGTGTTTCTATCTCTCTCAGTAGCTGTTCGGTTTTCGGTCGCCGGGTTTTATGCTTTTTGTCCTTCCAAAATGGAGAGTTTTATTCCGAGCGAAAAATGACAATAAAGAACGATGGAAAAACAACGACGACGACGAGTATGTTTCGAGATCGTAAAAGAGCGAGGGAGAGAGAAGGAAAAAAGAGCAAGGCGAAACCAGAAGAGCAAAAAGGAAGTTTGTGTGGTGGCGCATGCCTGACATGGATGCGTCATCTGTAGCTAACTACAAAAGAATGCACTGGAAAAGAATCGATAAAAGTGCAGGTCAGGGATAGAAGACTTGGACTGCGACTTCCACGGCACGAAGATGCGAATTCTTATTGGAATTTACCTGCCCTTCGCGCAGCCACAGAATATACCTGAGCCCAGGCTTCGCTCCCCCTGTGCTTATTTTTTTTGTTCTACTCGGCTCTTAACTTACGTTCTTGCCGACGCATTACCGCTTTGCATATAATTAAAAAGGATTCATCATCGTCCTCTCCAGAGCACTTCTTTTTTTTTTGCTGACCGCATAAAAACGCTGTGAGAAAAAGGGTTGTCTTGAGCGAGTCCGAGCGCACGAAAATAAAAAAAAGAAACAATGCTGGGGAAGAATGGAAGAACCTTTATGGAAGAGACCGGCTGGTACCTGGCTGGTACGTTTTTTTCGTCGTGGGTGCTTCGGTCATATTGACATAACGTGTCCTTGCATATTAAACACCGCATCATTATGCGTTAATATGTAAAGAGTTTTTTCATTAGTTCACACGATAAACTGATGAAGCCCTTCGGCGAGAAGAAAAAAGTTCTTTCAACCGTTCCACTCTTCATGCTTTTTTTGGCCTCTCCGCCCATTGTCCATAAACATTACATCCTATTCAAATCTCCTCCACTCCATTATTTCGAAGAAGCAGCTTGTCCGCCTCCTCCTTCTCCACCCTCTCCTCGTCCATCCAAAGCAATTAAAAACGCTGACGCGAAGAACTCCGTTCCCAATTAAATTGGAATCAATTTAGTCTACTTCTTGCGTACACAGTTTTCATTCGTTTCTTCATTTTTTTTTTATTGTTTTCGTTCCGCTGTCCGTTAACCCCGTTTCCCACTGCCTCAACCCCTCAGAACAAAAAACTCCCGAGTCCAGTATCAGAATTCCAAGACGACTAGAACTAGGAAGACACGGATTCCCACCGCATGCAAATTGGATCGAGTTTTTTTTTTCTTTACATCATTTTTTTTACAATCCACTGGCCCACTTTTTACCTTTCCACTTAGGGACCGAAAGGGCGTACAAAAAAAATGGCAGGTACACATTTTTTTTTTTCACTCGTTCGACCCCTAGAAACTCACCCCCCAAAAATGTCTGAGGGGTGAGTTTCGCTCCTCCCTCAACCCAGGAACCAATGGCAGCGAAGGGAATTATGCTGAAAAAAATACCCACCCCACGGCTTTACCACACTGTGGGCCGATGGGTGCCATTTTTTTTTCCTCCCTCGATGTCATCAGAGGACTCTGAAACCGCCCCCCCTCATTCCCAAGTACCGAGCGTTCGGAATGAATGCGGCGGAAAAGGAAGCTTTTTGTTCTTCGCATCGCGCAATTCACCGCGAAGATAAGTATGCGCGCAATGTCGTCTCGTCGCAATAAATTTTGAAATTACCGTCGCAAATTGCATCGATCTCGTAGACGGAAAACGAGACCCCGCACCGACCTTTTTGCCCTTATTATTTCACCGGTTGTATCTTATTGATCTCTATTGCTTGTCCCAATAGGAATGCGGGCACAGCAATTTGCCGCGGTTCGCTTCGCTTTTCTCGTCCTCCACTTATTAAATATTAAGTATAACTAAGAAAAGCGACCTCAGAACTTTTCAATTTGATTAACGACGTTAGTCCACACGGTTAATATTTAATCACCAGATGAATAAGAACTGAAAAATGAAGCACGTATGAAACCTCTGCTTGCGCGTACTCAGGGTCAAACTGGGTCAAGGTTAGTTGATGGATGGACCCTTCTTGTGCTTACTCTCACTCAATAACCAAAAAGCGCCTTTGTCGCACCGCGAAAATGCATAAATAATTCGAACTGGTTCCGCTCATTTCAGTTTGCTCTTTAGCTCCAATTGAAACACTGACCTAGCCGATTAAACCAGTCCTCAGTATCTAAACCTTCGATTAAATTACCACAAAACCGAAAATATTTCAAAAACTACAATACAACTAAAACAATATCAAAAAAAATTATTATTATTAAAGGTCACATGCTTAAAATTTGTAGCTCAGAATTAAGTTATTTTTTTTAATTTCCTTGTCGGTGCTTAATAAAAAGTAATTCCATATGTAAATTATTTTTGACATTTAAATTACCATTATGGATACTTGTTCTGTTTTTTGCTGTTCTCTTGAAATATTTTATATATTGCTCATTTTTTTTTTGTCTTTGCGTGATTCAGTTAAATTGAATTGATCATTTTCGGATTTGGCTAATGACGTTACGTATTTTGAGGATAATGCGTTGGTTTTGCTATCCAGAAGCAACGGGTAATTCCAACAATAATTCCCTTCATTTGCAAGGTGATCCGTATTAATTGACCCAGTTACATAAGAAGCTCCCTGTTATCTTTAACGGCCGGAAATAAACGCAGCCGTTTCGTATTCAAATTGGTTCTAATAATCAAACTCGCTTCGATCATTCAACACTTTAATGTAAAGTACATTTAAAGGAGCTCGTGAAACCATAAATGACATCTGCTCCTCAGATAACGTAATAAGTTGTTATCTTTCATTACAGTATTAATGACAATTTTTATTATTCTCTTTGTGCTCGGTTTATTCGATAGGTATTTAACTTTTATTTTATACAAAATGGTAACATTTCAAGTATACATATATACAATTACCATATAACCATTACTACGCGTTTATGTAAACGTTGGTTACATTTTTTTTTTAAATAACCGTCATTTAAGAAATGCTTTCGTAAAGGTTAAGAAATCAACAGTATTCTTGTGACCGAAACAATCATCTTATAAAAAAAAAAGAGAATACAAAAAGGATTGGTAAAAAACAAAACTTTTATTTTTCAAGGACGATTTTTTTTTGGTTTAGTAAACTGGAATTACAACATAAGAATACCCGATTACCATCAGATGAATCCATTCTTAAGAGAAAAAGAAACAGTTTATTTTTTACCTGCATAATGCGTTTTAGTTGCAGCTTTACCCTGTGTACTAATTATTGTGGAAGACGTTTTCTTTGTTCAATAAAATTGAATTGGATCATTGGAATGTTAATACCATCGAACGAGACTGCTATTATAAAGAAAATGTATGTATGTCATTTATATAGGTTCTTTTGGTATAATAAGTAATTGTAGTGAAATAGTGATGAGTGCATGTACAGAATTTGGAAGAGACAAGTATAGGCACTAATTGGAAATGCTTCGAAAGCAGTACGCAGTTATTAGCGAGGCAAATTAACGGTTGGAGCCAGCCATAAATGTTATTTAGAAGAAGGAGTTTCGACGGGGTTTTTCTTGGTCTTCTGCCTCGCAATGTACTTAAGTAACCGTGAGCTTGGTATGAAATCAGTCAAACCAGTCTCCCGATGAAAAACTGTCTCGTGTGTTTTTACGTGCGGCTTTTTCAGAGACCGGCAAACTCGTTATGGAGTAGAACTATTCACGGTTATATATATATAAACATATATATATATATAATATTTTTTTTAGTTTACCTCTGGTTTTCTACTGGCTGTCGGTTCAGTTCAGATTTTTGGCCCTGAGTGAAGAACAAGAAGTCGAGAAGAAGAAGTGGAGGATATAGCAACAACAACAAAAAGGAAGAATAAGAAAGAAGAAGAAGAAAAGAAGATGGAGAACGGTACGAAAAAAAATGGAATGCGAGACGGTGAAAAAGAGCTCGAGAAGAAACGGGCTTAAAATATCGATTGGAATTCTTTAATTTTCCACGGCCTGAGCAGTGTAATTGTTATGAACAAATTTCTTCTGTGCAACCGTCTGATATAGCCATAAATCCGGCAATAAAAGTGAAGCCTCGTGCAACTATAAAGATGTAAATGGGAATCCTCGGGCGAATCTCAATCGAGGCACGGCTCCGACGCAGCGGAGATGTCTGCACATCTTCCTCGTCGCCCATCAACGACAACTGCTGCAAAACCGACAATTTGCGCCAATTACCGTTGCAATCATGCAAATTGGTTTTAATTAATTCGAAGCCTTTTGCATCGACAACAATGGACAAAGGGGGTGGTTTTTGATTAACGCAGTTTGATCGGACCAAGTTCATTCCACATTTCCGACAAACAGAAACTAGTTTCGCTTATATTAGACCAAAACTTCCGATGATATACCGCGATTGCAATTAGATTTGCGTTGCTGCTCTAATGACATGGTTGTACAATAAACTTCACCAATCAAAAGTTTTGCGTCAAATTCAATAATATCTACTTATTTATCCTTGCTGCACCTCAACTGATGCTAACGACAGCTATATCATTCTTAAGTTACTTAATTTTGTTTTTATTATTCCTTTTTCGGCATGGCATAACTATTAAATATACAGAATAATTCATCGATTCCGGTAGAATAAAAAACGTGTCGTTTCGAAAGTTAACGAATTTGAATGAAACATAAAAAATATCTTATTGGAATTTTTGTAACGATCGTGCGTCAATGGAAAGTGAAAAAAAATCCGAAGAATATGTCATTTTAGGATTATTCTGGAGCGTTAAAACACGTGTTCATCTATAAAGTATTCGCACTTAGCGTAATTGAATTCATAATCCGTTTTCGTATGCATAACAATAAATAAAAATCAAAGAATTTCATCTTTTTTTATTAATAATTATTCAAAATTAGGCCATTGATTAATTTATCCAATTTTTCTAATTAATATTTATATACCATTAAATTAAGTTTTATTTTATTTCAATTATTTAGATGGAAATTAAGAAACTGAGTATAATAGTGTTTCTATTTCTAAATGAAATCATTGGATTAAATCATTCACCTTTCAGTATTATTTGCTGTTCATTAACATATGTTAATTCATGAACTAGAATTCATGAATGTTGCAAAACTTATATTTTATTATATAAACGTTTCATTCATTCAAAAGTTTCATTAAATAATATAAATTGAAATTTGTAACGAAGTTTTTCTAAATATATTTGTAATCAAAAATAGAACCAAAAAGTTTTATTTTTCTTCAAATTATCCAATTGGATCGAATGCAAAAGCAAACATTTTTTATGTAAAAACAGTGCAAGTGGATAAATTGAAAAGTCTGAAATCTAATAAACAAATTTCGCAAAGTATTTATAGAATTGACGATTGTTCATGCGAAATAAAATGGAGACTTGAAGTAAAAAAGAAGCAGTGAAAACAATGGAAGAAGAAAAAAAAAATATGCAAGACAACACTTGTTGTTGTTCGGATTGTTTTCGCTTCTTGCTTTGTTTATAAATTAAATCCGACGTTGCACAATGTTGTTAAAATTACGGTTTCACATCCATTCTGTCCGGTAATGGTGATTGTGCGGCTTTGTCTCGTTACTCAGAAGTGTTGTTTTTCTATTTGCTTTTTTTTATTACTAAAACCTGCTAAAACGTGTATATATATATATATTTAAAATACTTTCTAAAATTGTTGTTCGGAGCTGTGGGTACACGAACCAAAGAAGAATGAATACCGGCGAAGAAGAAAAAAATATATACATAAATTGATCGTTCGATCAGAAATGTTCTTCTTTCCTCTGCTTCTCATCTGTCTATCTCCGTCTTCAGGTTTGATTTGCAACATTTGGTCAATTAGAATGTTGTTTACGAACAACGTGTTCGCTTTTTATGGTCCAACCTCTTCGGTGGGTTAGAAGTGTCGTGAGAAAAAAAAAAGCGCGTGACTATATATATATTTATTTATTATGGTTCAATTTTTTTATGGGAGTAACCGAGATAGTAATTCTAGTAGATTCAAATTGAATGGTTGTCTTTGACACTTACTGGTATTGTTGTTGTTCTTGCTGACGATCTTCCTTGGCATCGAAGGGGACGCCGAATTTCGGAGGATAGACGCCGACGGCAGAGGCGACGGTACGATGGACGCCGTTATTTTTGGCGATTGTCGCGCACTTCCACAGTTTGGTACCGCCGCTCCAGCACTGGTCAAACGCACATCATCACTGGTACAATTTTCCATTTCACTGACCATTAATTAACAACAACAATAAATAGAAAAAAATAAACTAATAATAAATAGAACTTGACAACAACTTAATAATAACGGTAGGACAATCAATCTGAACGCGTTCAGAGAGTGGTACCATCCACGCACTGGGCGGAGGATGAATGTGTATTCGCACGTTAGCAACAATAACAATAAACAGCGTTAGCAACATCAACGGTAGCGACAAGCTCTCGGGGTTGTTGTTTGTTGTTCGTTTGGTGGTTGCAGTGAATGCACTGTCCACGACAAACTGCAGTGTGATAGTGTGTTGTTTTATTTTTCCCTTTACGCTACCCCACTTTCAAAGCGCGCAACACCCCACCACTTTTTCAAACGCCGCGAGGAAGGATTCTATGGGTCAGGCACCTACTTTTAGAACAAGGCAAAAGCGCCTCTACGGCTCGTCCTTGCCATCCGCCAAACCCTTCCGTACCCTTCCGTACCTTATCGTACCCCTTCCGAAGTACCGAGCGCTCGCGTTCCCAACTGCTCCGGATGTCTCGTTTCGTAATTAGCGCTGCAACTAAAACACTGCGAACAGACGTAATCGACAACACCTGTGGAGTTTCACAAATTTTCGTTGGTTTATTAATATGCAAATACTTCCGTACTCGGATACAAATCAAAAAAGGATTCTCGTTTCCCTATCACCGATTTCAAACATATTATTTATTTTTTTCAATCATTTTATTTAATAATTATTTTAATAATTAATATATTATTCAATTTGGATTTTACCTAAAAATTTATTTAGGAGACAAAATCACCATTATTAATTAACCTATTAAAAAAAATAATTATCACAATTATTTAAATTAATATTTTAATTTTATTGCAATATTAAAATTAAAATTCTATAGAAATTATATGAATTTATTAATTACTGCTAATTAATAATACAATCAATAATAATGTTTATTATTTTTTATAATAGACATACAAAATGCAAATATTAATAAATCAAATAAAAATAAATACATAAATTCGTATAAATAATTCTAATTAATAATAAGTATAGCAAATGAATAATGACGTTATTAATACAGTGGAACCTCGCTTAACGAGTATAATTCGTCCCAAAATTTTCGGATTTATACTCATATAGTGAAACAATTTTTCCCATATAAAATAGAATAATGTCAGAAGAAACAAGTATAACTTGGTCTCGCCTTTTAATGATTTCTATGGATATTTTTATTCTTTTGCTTTTTAATTGGAGACATGAAAGTATTATTAAAATGTTTACAAAAAAAATCACAAATAACGTCCTAAAACAAGTTTGGACATATGTGTGATCACAAACAAGACTAAGATGCAACTAGAATGACTACTAACACCAAGAACAGTTTTCAAATTGAAAAGAGTTTACGCCATTTGTTTATATTACTTATTTTGATCTCTTTATACTTTTAATGTTTAGATAATGGTTGGACAAAATACATTTTTGTAGTGAAAATGGTTAATATATTAAAAATATACACATATATGTGTACACAAGTTTTGAAAATGATGTAGCAATCTGGGACTTCTCTTCTTTCGTCACTCGTTATGCAAAACGTCGCACGTTAAGCGAGTCATTTTTCTTAAAGTTTATTTTGCTCGTTATGCGAAATGTTCGTTATGCGAGGTGCTCCACTGTATATTTAATATTTCCATATCACATTAAATTTTCAGAATTCACAACGGATTTGTTTGTTCTTCGAAGCAAGTAAAGTAACAACAAATAACATATCGGAAAAACAAATTCGCGAAATTAATTAATGGTAATCATATAAACAAAGCAATTAAACGGACAGCTATTGTTACAGTTTTTTGGTGTTAATTGCATATTTTTGTTTTCTACATTTTTTTATAATTGCTAATTGCCATTATTGCGTCTGTTTTCTCAGTTATAACATTCGTTTTATCCGTGTATTATGTGTTGCAATACATTTTTTGTTTTGTTCCCGCATTTTACCTATCAACTTTTTTTTGCATATTTCGTGTATGTTATATAATTATTTTCATTTGTATATTTATTTTATTACTAATTTTACCTTGAAATGTCGTTTTTCTTCAACGTATCTTTTATAATAACAATAATAATAACATTTATTCCAAAAAATTACCAACAACAAAATAACACAATAAGTAAATTAAAACCAAATTGATTTATATTATTTGTAGTTCTTTTCGAGATTCTATATATATATTTTTTTATTTATAACGATTTCTTCTCATTTATATTTTATTATTATATAAGTCGTAGAATCACCCTAATGGTGGTATTATAAAAAAATATTTTTTATAATTTAATAAATAAATAATATATTATTAAAAAACTAAATAAATTAAAAAAAAGTTAAAATGAATGACTAATTACAAATCAGTAGAAGAAAACAAAGGCTATTGTATAATGAAATGATGTTTGGATTTCCGAGACAACTTCTATACCCGAAAGAGGATTAACCCTTGATATTTAAATGTTACCTGGATTGTTTTTTTGCGTCCACGTATGTCCTCTATGTCTTTACATATAATTTTTTTTTGTCCAGTGCGTATTCAAATTTTTAGGGTTTAGATGCGATCCTCTGTTTTCAAAGAAGTTTGGAGACTCAAATTTATTCTTTTCATTTATTTTTTTTTATCAAAATGATTCGACTCTTACAAAACCAGCATACTCATCTTGAAGAAGAAAAAATAAGATAAATCATGCTTCGAATCTTAGAGAATCTTTATAAAAAAAAACCATTTCATTAGTTTTTATGACGATAAAACTATATTTTAGGATCAAAAATATCCTGCAAATCAGGAATAATAAATTATAAAATTTTACAAAAAGTTTAATGATTTTATTTATTTGTAGCGAATTTAATATTTGAATGAGTAATTGCAGGGAAATCAATTATTTGATCGGAACATTCTGTAATCATACCCTTGAATAACGTAATTCCCAGTAATCGGAGTGATTTGTGAGGGTAAATCAATTAAATAATTGATGCACGTAATTGGTGAAAATTGCTAGTTCCTATAATTGGTATGCAGGACAGTTAGTTACACAAAGTTTGTTGTTCGTTGTGATGTAATTCTATATGATTGAAATAATTCGTGGTTTAATCCTTTGAAATTAATAAAGTAGTTCTAAAGTTGTGATATAATTTTACTATAGCATTAAATAATAATATAAAAATGCACCTGTCAAGTAACTTGTATTCAACGACTTCATTGACTACACTTGTGCGTACTTGTATATACTTGCCAAGTAATGCGTAATTTTGCTAAAGGCGACAAACCGCGTGAGAATCATAATGCAATAACGAAAAGCTTATTCAAATTACCTTAGTTCAATATACGTTACGACGAGAAGTTTTTTTTTTCATTACTAATACTTCTTCGCTATTATCCTGTTTACTCCTTTCTTTTTTTTTTCGACGTCCACGTTTTTTTTTCCTCGTAGATAATTTTCATAAATTATGCGCGCAAGAAAATATTCCCAGCGCAAGACTCGATGATGGAACAACAAGAAAAAAAAAAGGACGAAAAAAAGAAGCAAGACCTCTACCGTATTTTTTTTTCCGTGGAGCCAGAAAAAAAAATCCGGAACGTGAACCCTTTTTTGTCCGGCTCACCTCGTCTGTGTCCTGTAAGACAGTAGGGTTAAGCGGCCACTTCTTAATCACCTATTTTGCATAATATTCCTACCTACGACGTGCATAATTTATGCGCAGCTCGTCCTCCGAGACTCCTCTCGGTTTGATCCTGGATGTCCCATTTTTTTTTCCTCGGACGAAAAAAAAATGCACCTCGCATTATGTGATTCCTTTTTTTTGGTCTTGAGAACAAAATCTGCAGCGCCGAGATCGGCAGATGGAATTGCATTAATTAATTTCTGATTCTTACATAACAACAGTAAAAAAAATTCACAAACGGTTTAAAAATTTGTTGCGCTAATTATTACAACACGCTAATTAAATTCTTAATAACAAACATTCATTACGTTCAGTTGTTTGAGCTTCGTGAAGCAATTATCGGATGAACTGGAAATCAAGTAATTGCAATTTGCGCAAATATAGTAAGTCCAATGTTCGCGTGATGCTATGATGCAAAATAGATAGTCGCATCAGGAGGCAACATTTTGGAAGTCGCCCACGGTAAAGCGTGATTTTCTCGGAAACCATAATAGATTGAATTAATCCAAAAGATACATATAAAAGCTAGATACATTGGGAATGTAGTGAGTAGTTATACATTGTTGTATAAATACTCAGTGTTTTCACATTTTAGTGATTATAATAGATTGAATGGCTCAAAAAGATGCATGGATATTTGTAGAAATGTATGCAATAAGTTAATACGTATTTACAAATTACATTACGTAATTAATAAATAAGCTACGAAAGTTTGTTTATATTTTCTAGATATATTTCTGTGCAGAATAAATCATTTTTTGTGTAGGAAACTACAAATTAATTGCATTCTTCAATTATAAAGGGAAGGTAACGTGTGATATGCGACCCATTGAAATGCAAATCCGGTGGGTAGGATGAATACATTAGGAAGGTTGATGGTATACTTTTTTTGCCGACGCTACTGACGACCCCTGAATACGCACGGCACGGCAATCCTTTCCCTCACGGTAACCAGCATTATGTAAGAAGGAGACCAGGTAGAATGGTGTATGCAACTTTCTGGTCACTCCTTGTAAAGCTTTGGGACGTGTGGTAACACTGTTTTGTAATACCAGTAGTTCGTGCTTCATCGACCATCAAAGTCCTTTTCTTTTGAATTTCAAAATTTATCTATATTCGTTAAATTTCAAAACTTGCAATAATCTGTAAAAAATGCTTTTAAACAATTCAGTTATTAAGTTATTAATATATTGATTCTAAATGTTACACATTTTTAAAAATTACCTAAGAGGATTACTTTTGCACGGAAAACCGCTCACGTTTCCACATAAAAGCTTATACTGTTGTTGAAGTTTGTCGTTCTTAAATGAGTAAATATGTTTTTCTGAAGTTCAGAATTGTTCCATATATTTATATGCACAATGCACGATTTAGGTCATTGATTGCCTTTTTCAATTTTGATGATTTCCACACATTTAGAGATGCGGATTTAAAGGTTTGTGCACTTACTGGACTAATGGGTTACTGAAAATCTAATGCTTAAAAAGCAACGTAATCATTTAAAAGCACTCCCCGGTATAATCCTTATGACGCAAGTGACGCGTAAAATGTTACATGATAACAATGCACGAAATATGTTTTTATATAACACAATTTAAAAACAGATAGTATATCTTCCAAAAATATTATATTTTATTAAAGAAATTATCAATTTTTGATTGGACAGTTAATTTTTTATCACTATAAATCTCCTTGTAACAAGTTGGAGATTTTAGAATTTTGTTCGTAAGTTCGAAGGTCTATCCCCCGACCTGTATATGGATTTAATGTTCCTCATTGGTCGTTGAAATCCTAAGTGTTTATTGTATTATTATGTAATTTTGAAATGAGACCTTATTTAATAATAGTATAAGTAGTAATAGAATTTAGACATATAAAAAAATGTGTTAGGACCAAAAAATAAAAGAATTAATATAAAATAAACACGCAGGTAATTCTTGTCCTAGGAACGTGTCCTGGACGCTCACTGAAGTATTACTATTATTGATTGCAATAACAGTAAACAGCGTAAAATTAACGATGATCACACAATTTGTACTAAATTGAATCAGTAAAAAATAATTTGTTTAAATATTAATTAATAATTAAATTAATCACTGATTATAATTATATTTTAAAATGTATAAAATGTATTTTTCAATTGATGATGTCGTGTCCTGCAATAATGGCGCGTCTGTTGTTATCTAATTAATGGACGGGGGTGCTAAGTTTGTCAGGCGAAAGTTCCGGCATGGATTGTTGAAAGAAGGATCATAGTTTAATTGATCGGCAGTTTACATCCGCTTCTACGTCGAGCACCCTCAAATATTATATGTTTACAGGTGAATCGTAGGTGCTCCAGAGTTTGCGTTATCATAAAAACGGACTGTTGTTATTAATACAGGCTGCGCGCATCCGTTCAGTCGTCCTGCGTCAGTCGTTGCATGCACTCCTGCATTTTACCACCACGAGCTCCTGTTACGCGCGTCAAGAGATCCTGCCAGTTCTCACATCCTGGCAACAGTACTTTCAGAGGCAAATACCAAATAGGTCATCACCAACACCATCTGAAGACATCATTAGGTATGTCTTACATTGTTGAACAATCAATTTAGGAAGAAAATGATCATAAACGATGTGAGATAATTGTCTTAGGTCATGTCATTAGAACAATCTGATTTTGAGTTGTATTTTGTTTCGGGTTCAGCAATTAAAACGAGGAATCCGTGCAGAGCTCTAATTGTGGTAAGTCCATCATTGATGGATGGCGGAAATCTGGCGGTTGGCAACGGCAACCTGTCTGCTACAAAGGACGGTTGTTATGCGTAGCTTCGCGAAATCATGTATAAAAAGAAGCGAGCGGGAATAAAACGTGCAGACACAAATATGAATCGATAACGTATTCATTCCTCTTACCTCGTCTTCTATGTGTCCGTGTTCGAGCTCAGAGAAATCATTTGATTTGCATCCAACTTGGTAGTAGGCTTTATTCATCGAATATATAGCACATAACAAAAATTAACAAAACATCTATATATAACAGAAAGCTAACAAATATCGAAAATAGCACAATGCAACGTTAATTACAAAAAATATATATATATTTATATAAACTAATACAAATAAAGTTGGTCCATCTATCATTCATTGTTTTTATTTGTTGCATTTTGTTTTTGATTGGTAGCGAACACATATACCCTATACCCTGTTTAATTTTATAATGATAAGAAATAGTAGAATCTCGTTGGTGTTTCATTGTTGGCGGGAGGTTGCGGTACGGGTATTTCTTGGTGTCTAGACAGGTACTACATTGGTGTTCGACTCCTTGGTGATCAGTTGGCACAAGCTTCCATTGGCTGGGCGATTCTCATTCTTGGTCCATTCCAAGAATTTTCTGAAACAATCTTGTATAAAATTTGACTCTAACTTTCCGCCGGAGAAAGTCTTACTCGGCGATGAATTCCAAAGGAGTCCAGGTTGTGTAATCACTGTTGGGCATCCACTTGCGGTTCATTGGAGTGTCCAAGGTGATGGGCAAGATCGCTGTGACAGTGGTGTCCGTTGGTAGACCGCTGTTTTCCGCAGCTAATGATTTCACCAAGTGATGGACTGCAGCTTTAGCCATTCCGTAACCAATCATACCTAAATGGAATTAAAAAATATTTTTGGTAAATTCTACTAATAAACACTACTTATTTACATAATGATATCCTATAATATATATTTAATAAAAAGGACCTTAATTAAAGATTTACCAATTTTACTTATTAAAAATAACATTTCCATATTCAAACTAATGATTATTATTACATAAAAAATTAGTATCCTTCTTTGACTTAATCAATGACAAATAATCAATTTACTTCAGCGTATATTATACATCCCCTCGCCGTATTATCTGTTTGATGAGCTTTATTTCCTCATTAGTATGATACTTCTATCGTCATACATGCATTCACATCTACATTTGTTTCCCCCCATTTGTCCAGTTTAAACCAACATCACACACGATAATCCTCGTACATACATACAGGCACGTTTGCTTTTAACCCAACCGTTTCAGTCCTATTCACATAATTGTCATTGATTGCCAATGATTCATAAATATTATTACTTGTAAGTCTCCTGCAATCATCACCGATAAATTAAAGAATTATATTACTGTCAACCTTTCAAAAAACAATTCCAATTATACACGCTCATCTCACTTTTCAACAACAGTACCTCCACTACACGTGACTTAATATTCACAAAGCTATTGAACACATCTGTCTAAAACAGATTCCTCAATTATCCCTTCAACCATAATATTAGTTACATCAAGCGAATTCTGCATTCTGTAATGTATATTACACGCTGCTCGATACGCTTTATATGCTATATACATATTATATAATAATTCAAATACATATATTTACAAAATATAATGGAAATTATAGTTGAAAATTGGAAATAACAATTTAGCATGAAAACTTCATATTATTAAAATATTAAATTAATTACGTGAAATAATTAATTCAAAGTAATATTTTGTTAAATATCTTTAATAATCGGTGAAAACAAACGTAAAACATCGGTTGCGTCATTAGAGTCCGTTTTCTCTGATCTCGGATCGATTACGTAAAATCAATGAATTTTTATATATTCAGGGACACTTCGGCGATAATACCATAAACCGGTTTACTCAGATATAGTTGATCTATTCCATTTATCCGTTATACCAAATTTAAATTTAATTGGTATTTTCAAACTTTTCCCCGAACTTTCAAACAGTGCGCATGCTAGTTATCCAAGAGAAATATAAATATCTAAACTTTAACACTAAGATTACAAAAATACAATTTTAGTGCAAGAATGCATAGTATAGGCCACGCGCATTTCATTGCTGATGGATAATTCACGTAAATTGAAATCCCATGTTGTAACAAAATTTCCTTTTTTATTATCTAACATACGTTTACCGTTTGCATTTCAAAACGTTTTAATATAATTAATTATTTTGTCATGTTTAATGCATGAATTGAGAATATAAAATGTAGCAGACAGCAGGAAAATGTGTCTGTCCATTACGAAGCCGGATTTAAGGAGGGGTAGTCTCGTTCAAAACTGGACATCTCATCACCTTAGTTTCCACATAAATGTCCCCTACCAATACGCATTACAACCCTCTGGTATAAAGCTATAATCAATAGGGATTAATACAGAACTACCCCTCCAACAAATATACTGAAAGTCTGCATTCAAATATCAATTTCAAAATATGACTGACAACTAACCTTCACATTTAGTTTAAATAAAAATAATTCAAATTAGTCTATGAAATGATGACAAGTTTGTGAGGTTACCTGGGGTGGGATCAAGGGCAGCTTTAGCTCCAGTCAGAGTGAGCAAACCACCATCTTTCAAGTATTGGCTGGCAATTGAAGCTGAGATCAATGAGCTCCAAACACTCTGTCTCCACATCAAATCAGAGTGCTTGATGAGATCCTTGCTGGCATTTCCACCAGCCCATCCACCAGCCACACAAATAATGGCATCAAGCTTAGATCCAGCCAGAGCACTGGAGACATTATTGAGGATGGTGGACTCCTGATTTTAAAAGTTTTTCATTAGCTAATGCTGGTTGGGATTCTTAATATGTAAATTAACCTGTTTGCTGAACTCGCTGTCCTTGTCCACGACGATGTTGACATCAGCCTCCTGGTTCTCATGCATATCGATCGAACCTACCCACTGTATAAAGGGATTTCATTATATAGGTCAAAGGTTGTAGACTGGTCCAGCGAATACTCACGAAATTCTGGGCTTTGAAGTATTGCACGCATTTGGAACCAAGTGCTCCTCGTCCACCGTAAATAACAACGCGACCGGATACTTGTGCCATAGTTTGTCTGATGTTAACTGTTGATTTGGAAGACAACTTGTACTGGTAGCTGCTGCTTCAACGGTTCGCTGACTATTGCGACTTCTCAACCTCAGATGCTTTCTAACGACCTTCGTCGCAATCGCCCGATCCCGGACGTTTTTTCCAACGCCGACAGCCAATCCAATTTCCACACCAGTTCTTGAATACGTTTCCCTCATCAGGCAATTAACTAGTCAATGTTTACATTAGCATTGGATTTTCAAAACCGGCTGCTAGATTAATAAAACAATCATCATTAAATCCAATTTGAATTGCGCCCTCTTGCGGACATATTGATCCAGGATTCTATTGGTTAAATTTTTAAAATTACAGGGAATTACCACAAGGAGTCAAAGACCTCAAATTTTAATGTTTCTAGTTCCAGGCGACTAATTTTCGTCATTTCTTTTCTCTGAACTTTCGATAATTAACCAATTATAATAAACACTTCACTAATTGCCTCAAGCACAATTATTCCTTCATCGAAATTTGCATACTATTATCATCCGTATATCCTTGATATTGATTTGAATATTCAAATTGTAATTTATTGCTGTTCTTGTCTTGAGGTTGTCTCGCTTTCCAACATGTAACGTGTGTTCCTTTTTAGAAAGTACCAGAAGTAAAAGATTTGATAGAAAGGAAAAGTAATAGTATTGTACACGAAATAAAACGGAAGCTCGCAGAATTCTTAATCGAAATATATTATATTTACTTCATTATTTACATAGAATTAATACGTATACAATTGAACAGTGTAAAATAAGGTATCTTAATATGTCTCTTAATTGTAACTTGTCATAACTTAATAGAATATACATATATAATTTATAATATATAAATCTCTGATTTTTTTTTTTAAATATTCGTCCAGTTCACGGTATCACATTTAACAATTAGGCACGATAGTGATTTGTTAAGTTAGTATAGCAACATAAAAACATTGAGATGTATATGTTAAAGGAATTGAACAAAACAGGAAAACATAAATGGTGTCAGTTGCATCTCCTTCGTCAGGCTGTCGATGGCCGAGGATTTCCTTCCCACGCATCCCTTTCATTTTGCCGCTGGGTTCTCTTCAATTCTAAAAGAGTATAACAAAAAATGAATAATTAAAATTGTCCTTCTAAGCAAACACAATTATCAATTAACCTTTTGCTCTTTTGAGAGCTTCTCTCTCTTTTTGTTGTTCCTCTCTACTTATGGTATTCCTAGCTCCCAGGGCAGTTGTGATCATTCTTCGCGCAGCATGCATACTAGTCTGTGGTCTCTTCATAGCTGGTCTGAGGTCACTCTTTGCTGCTACTTCCAAGGCCTTCTGGCCCGCCATTGTCATTGGCCGAGATTTTATTATATCATGTTGCAGATTCAACGCTCGTTGGGCTTGAAAAAAAAAAATGCAAATCAACTTTCATTGAAATTCTTTCCACTCATTTTTTGCCATCAAATTTCACTATACATTCACCTTGTCGCGTGCACTTGACTGTCACAGATTGCGCACATATTTAATATAACAAAAACAGAACTTTCAAAATACCTTGTATTGATGAGCCCAGTATCAATAGGGCATGTGTCTCATCACACCACTTAATAAACATAGATTCCTTGTTAATATCACTATAGATCTGCATGATATCTGGTGTCCGGAATGTTGATGGGAAGTCATACAGTTCTATTACGTGCTCCAACTCCTGCATTTTTGGATTTATAATTACATCATCATCCTCTCCATCATCATGAACATTATTTGTAAAACTGATCTGGAATAGAATAATAAATAATTATAAAAAAAAATGTTATTTTGCAATTTCTTGGATAGAGGAATTTGGGTATGTTTTACTTGATCGTCATAATTGTCCTCCTGGTCATCATCTAAGAATAAGTCTTCCCAATTAGCGACCTGCATAAGTTTCACTGGGCTCTTTTTATTAGATTTATTTGAGGGCTTTTTCACATCAATGTTCAAAACATCATTTTGTACATGCTTAATAATTGGCCTACACTTCCTATTTACTTTTACAGTGTCTCCATTTATATCAGGTCCTGTCCGCTCTTTCAACATTATTACTAACTTATTTTCCTTTGTACTTAGTTCAGTGTTTTTATCAGTATCTACTAATTCCATGTATTTCATTGAATTTTTAACCTCTTCCAGAATCACCACAGGCTCATTACTTGCAACTTCAATCTTTTTTGGTATTTCCTTAAATATTGTAATGTAATTTATAAATTCTTTGTCTTATTGGGAGATGACTTACTGTTTCCGGAGTTTGCATTGGAATGTCACTGGGTTTAACATTGGGGGATCTACATTACAAAAATAAATGAATAAAAACCTGTCGATAAGAAAATATTACACTTACTGTTTATTGCGTTGAGCTGGGGGCACATACAGCCTCTGTGCTGGTCGGGTTCTTCGTTTCACACTAGACTCATCCATTTTGAGTCTTAAATTAATTGTGGATTTTAATAACTATAGCACATGGAATCACTAAACTTACTATAGGTTTTGCTGCTATGAATAGCTTGAGCGTTTTTGGATATACTGCAGGTAACTGTAGAGCATTGAAAGTAAATGGCTTCAAAATGAAAGTAAAATTGTGAGGTTTACATAACTATGAAATCACAAAACACTTTCTCTTATACTGCATATGTAATAATTCCTTCCTTGTGGCTTCTTATTACATTACTATTGGATGCGTGCAGTATAGCGTTTTTTCGATATCTGAAAAAGGAGGGAAAAATGTATTTAAATGTTTGTGTACTTCTACATGCGTGAAAGAGATAAGATAGGCCTGGTCGATAATTAAATGTTAAATTCCTCACCTTGCTTACACCTTCTTTAAAACGGTTTCTTCGCCTTGAAACGCACGCTCAGCAAATGTATCCGGTCAACCTTTCGATACGTCTCGTTTGATATCGATCGAAATTGTCGTCATTTATTGGGTAATCTGGCTGTAATTAGTTCTAAAATTCATTAAAATTAAACGTGTTTTCGTTTGCAAACAGCATCGCCATTTTGTCAGATTCTCCATCGGAGGCGCATGTCTAGGAACAATTTATTTATATCCTGGCTATGCTACAATCTTGTTGCTTGTTCTTTTTTAGATTTGGGGATATTATATTTATACCACGCTCCGTTTGTTTGGATCCAGCGACAACCTTGGCTCATTGATTTACTTGTTTGTTTTTGGTGGACTTGCCAGATTTTTGCATGCCAACTTGCCGAAGAGATAGATGATGGTCAAGGTTTTATGTGAATTTCGACAATATTGTTGATATCTTTCACTGCAGGCGGCGACAACGACGACAGCAAAAAAGAAAACAAAACAATTGCTGCAGCGGGCGGCGTACACGGATCAATAGTTGATAATATCCGGGGCTCGACTGTGCTGAACGCAGGGGTTGCTCCTGGTTCCAGATGCAGCCAGCCCAGAATGATGTCCCTGGCATCCTACCTACGTGCGCGGTGTGACCTCCCTGCCACCCGCACACCAAACTTGCGCCCTGGCCACCTGCACCGGGTCACATAATTCACCCCTAACCACCGACCCAACAGTACCCGATGAGACGTAACGCAGACCGATTTTGAAACCCCCCAAGACAAGCAACAGATTGCATCTTCACCTGTTGTTCCTCCAAGGTACAAATACTAGTCTTACATCCCCTATTGCAACCCATTCATAGCCTGCTCAGTTGTAACGACCCCTTGATGTTTGTGTATCTGTGTCGTCTCTTAGTTAAAATTACTTCGATTTCAATTTATTAACGATAGTAAAAGAAACAAAGAAAAAAAAACTATCGACTGCCCATATACATTGAGATGAACAGTTAATTATTACGCGCGATTTAAGCAAGAAATAATAATGTACGATTAAGCTGAAGAGTTCCATATGTTTATCCAAAAAACATGCAGATTCGATTATATAAAACCTCATCTAAATTCCTTGATAAATATATGATTAACCTACAGTTTAACGTTAATGCATATAATTAATGCATTAAATTCAATGATTTTGATGATTGTTATGATCGCATTTCCCTAAAATGAGCGTCGCATATTTACCGCCATTTAATAAATATGGATGCATTTATTACAAAATGGTCGCATTAACTCGTAATTTGATTGATTTCTCTTAAAACACGATTACACGATAAAATAAAGAAACAAATATAATAATATAACGAATTATCACACTAATTAAGCTGTAACTTAGCCATTTATAACTGTAAAGCGCGTATTTTATTGTTACTGCCATACATTAGTTTGTATGCATTATTTGTGCAATAATATCGTAAAAACAGTAAATAATATACTAATAAAAAAAATGTACAAACATACCTACATTTATTTGAAGTGAATCGTCATAAAGTTAACAGAAAATGTTTCTTAAATTTACCTTGGGTTGTTATTTAAAAATGAAACCTTAATCAATTTTATTGTTGCGTCGACGACGGCTTCAACTATTGATTTTCTACAATTGTGACACGCGCAATTATTACAAAAATAACTCAAGAAAATTTAATGTAAACTAACACAATATATTATTTAAATTACTTACATAACTTATACTGTGTAACAATAAAACGATTGTTTAGGCTGACTTTGGTTATATTAGATAAGGTCAGTTTTGAGTAAACATATGGTACTGTGCGATACACCGATTTCTCACATGTGTGCGCGTTTCAAACATGTTCAATTAATTTTATTTTTACACCAAGAATGTGAACTTTGGCGAAAAAATACACTCAAGAAGTACGCTTGTTCCATTTCGACGTGAATCCTGCAAACATTTACATGCAGCATGCGCGCACTCTATTTTTAATAAACGCTCGAAAAGACTTCATAATTTGTCTAGACGTATATTCTTAGTGTTTATTAATAAACATCTACTGAAATACTTATTTAAAGTATTTAATAATAAAAAAAGATTTATTGTAAAACAACATAAAAGCGGCTTAAAGTATTTATTGTTACAAAAAATTCTAATTCTTAAATAATGCGGAATTTCGTAAAATGAGAACATCAGTCTTTTTGAGTATACGGTGGAACCTCGCTTAACGAACAAAATGATGTAAGAAAAATGACTCTCTTAACGTGCGATGTTTCGCATAACGAGAAGATAAGTCCCGAATTGTGCTCTTGCTACATCATTTTCAAAACTTATAACCACATATTATGTGTATTTTTGAATATGTTTCACTATACGAGTAAAAATCCGGAAATTTTGGAACGGATTATACTTGTTAAGCGATTTATATTTTGATAAATGTAATTTAATAATTAAATTTATTCTATCTACAAATATCATACCTTTTTTTGGATAAAATAAACTTTTGCTAGTAGATGTCAAATCTGATATTATCCTTATAATCCAGATGATTGTAGTTTATTTCGAATCCAATGAACTGATGTAAAATCTGCAATATTACAAATTTTTAATATATGAGAATATAGGATTGTAATATTAATATAAAATTCTCTGAAAATTCTAAATGTAACTGAATGGTTTATAGAAAGTAATTGTTCCCTGAAACAACATATAGAAGTCCTATAAAGAATATAATAATACAAAAAAGTGACGTGTCCACAATGTATCCTTGGTTGTTCGCGAACAGCAGCGATTGACTTTTAGAAGCCAAAATCGTATGGTTTAACTAATCTGCAGAAACCCTTATGTGTTACTAGGTGGAATTATGGTATGGAATGACAGAGGGAAGGGTGCAAACAGTATGGGGGGGAGGAACATCAAATAAGTTTTGAAAATAAAATGCCTTTATTTAACGTTTCCAAGTCGATAACAGAATAAAACTAAAATGAAATAAAAAGTATGGGTCTCGAAGCAAATGAAATGGTGATGGACAAATGTAAAAAAATAGTTTTATTTTTAAGAAAATTTCGCTAATTTCCTAGTCATCTGGACATCATAACTGAAGGTAAAGCAAACTCAACTCGAAAACAAAAAAGAATGAACTGCTTTTTTTTTTGTTGTTCTTCATCTCCTCTTCGTAAATCCTCTTGGTGTATGGTGTGTCCATGTTCTTCTATTTTGATGGAATCCTATTCCGTATCTTGATTTCCTCATGGAAATTTCACAACAGTTAAAAAATAAACAAAGTCGTCTTCTTCCTAAGCGAAAGACAACAGACCAATCAACAATTCGTGCCGCAAGTTAACATGAGATAATCGAATACAGGCAGCACCTTCTAATAATTATCAACCAATATTGAAAATAAATATTACAAATATTATCTTAACCTTAACGATTATTATTGCGCGAGGTAATATTGATATTTATGTATATAAAACAGAAATAATAAAAATAAAAAATAATATATAGAACTAAAACATTGCCGGCCACCTATGAGTTCACGTCCATCATCTACCTATTACAATTATAGTGCTTGAATAAAACATGTTACGTGTCGTAATGAAAACATATTTGACTATATTTACAAATAAACAAATCGAACCGGAGCTCGTCACATTTTTTTTACACTCTTTTGCTCTCACTAAATCTTAAGTATTAAATTTATTCATTTTGTTTATTATATAATATTATTTTTGTTTCATTTCTTATAGCCCCCCTCCCCCGTTCTCTTGCAATCTTCTTTATATATATATATAAAAATTTGTACTCATCATTCTTCTACGCTTGAAAATTATACAATATTTATATATAGTATTTGCAAATTTGATTTATACAATACAAAAAAAAACACTATTTTCATTGTTAATACACATTTAACGCATGCACTCTACCTCATAAAATAATCAACGCGAAGAATTGTCTAAATAAACTTAGAATATATATATATATGGATATATATATATATTATATGTTACATGAGCTCATACATAGATAAAATAATATCTTGAGTTAAGCAGCTATTGCCAAAACATAATAAAACCTCTCCATTCCCGTACGGCTTACATACTCTATTCACGAATAGATTGAGATCACAACTAGTTCAATTCCAGTACACGAGTTACTTATTTAAGAGAGCCGCCGAGAATCTTTTCATTAATAACAACCTAAGAAAATGCAGTCTTATGTATATGAATAGTCAGAAGAACAAATATTAAAACAATATATAAAACCAGGGATGAAATGAAAGTTAATAGAAGTGACGACTAGAAAAAAAAAGTAATCCTACATCAAGACATGTTTGAATTAAAAAAAAAAACAAGAAAATAATATAACAAAACGAACAAACTCTGATCAAGGTACTGTTAAAGTACTGCAGTACACAGGAAAATGCATTTCCAATTACCGAGTGTGTTTTTCTCAATTTATTTGATTTTGTATAAAAGATTCACTGCATGGAAGACCCGTTTCTATAGTTGAACAAAAGATCCACATAAAATTAACTACTTGAACACAGAAGAAAACATTTAAAAATAAAGCCATTTACTGCTAAATGCGACAGTATTCGAAATAACAATTACATCAAATACATAAAATAATGATTTTTAAAACCCCTACACGCACATTCACACTCTGGTTATCACAAACTGACATTTTGAACAGGCAGAATTCTAGAATGAATTCGAAAATGGTATTTAAAAAGCAATGCACTCTTTCTTGCATTTTGATTGTTTAAGTGGAAGACAAGCATTTTTTTTTCTCTCTTCTTTTCTCTAACTTTACCGTTACGCTTTGCTTTCCGATGCAAACGAATTAAGGCGAGAACGCAAAGTACATGCCTGGATGGTCCAAAAACAAATGTACTATAATTGAAAATTTCAATTCGCCTAATGTGTAATCTTGATATAAAATTTCTACTTTTGCTATTTTTATTTACTTTTTTTTTGTCTTTTAACTTTAATCACTTTGCTTTGTTTGTCAGTCGGGGGGTCGTATTCTTTATGCTAATCGTCCAAAATTGGCACTTGGCTGGGCACTTGGTTCAAAAATAAACATACACATGAAAACAATGATTATGTACGCATTTATCACAATCCATCTTTAGAGCGCGCCGTGAAATCGATGCAGAACAGGCCGTAACTGTTTGATATTTTTGGCGCTAAAACTGTGTATACTAGCATGGGAGCGCCAAAAGTGTAAGTACGTCTTTGTTTTGAACGGATTTGAAATACTTAAGTACGGCTGTTTGGCGCAAGAAATATCACTGAAAGCGAGTGCGATTGTGTAGTATAATGAGTTAAATATATAAAATGATCAGCATGCTTCAAACGATTCATTTATTAATTCTAAAGCGCGGAGGCCGATCCAATAAATGCAATTTTTAGGCGAAATTATTATCGATTGATATTGTCTCCCTGCAGAATGAACATAATAATTTCAATTTAGTGGAGCGGCCTCGGCTGCGCGCCACTCCATCCATACTACGGATACCGTCAGAGATCGATGATGGTACTATAGTACCATTGATGTTACAGCGATGGTTTAAAGCATTGATTTTCAACAGATGTGTCGCAGTATACTGGTGTACCGTGAGAGGGTCTTAAATTGTTTAGGTTGAAAAACACTGGTTTAAAGGAACAGAGAGCGACTACAGATCGCACCCTGCATTACATCGAGCATCGATCTCACTCAACTGGATCATTTACACACATTAACTATTTATAATTTAATTAATTACGATTATATTAAGGCACAGAATGAACTATAACGGATTTGTAGATAATATTCAACAAATATTAAAATCTACAGACAAAACACTTTCGGGTGTTTTAAAACCCACTGAGCATTTATCACAAATACTTATTGCTTTTCCGAATGGACACCCGGCAATTCAGTGATATCTGCTGGGCCGCACCTGTTGCATCGATTTCCGAATTATTGCTTCTAAAAATATATACACGTTATAGACGTTAATGTGTATATACATACGCGGGCAAGTGGTACTTTCTACCACATCGGCCAAAACTAGATGAACAACAATGATTTGCTTTTGGAACGATTTAGAAGAAAGACAGACGCCCAAACGAATTTGATATAGGTATAGTTTTCTTTTGGAAGCCACGAAAGCCTGAGATTTCTGTTTAGCTGCGACCACGCGCGGGTCCTTGATGTTAACAAACAGGACACCTTGTATGCACGCAGATCGTACCCGTGTGGTGTTTGATCGCCGAGATTTAAGGACAGTTCTCGTAAGCATCGGTTATGCAACAAAAACCAAAGTTTTTCTTGCTATTTGTTGGACAATTTGAATATTCAGGAGAGCTCCATTTCGTTTTGCATCAAGATCAAAGGCACTTCGTTCAAGTGAGATGGTTGGCTCCTCCATAAGACAATAACAGACCGGTATGCTCAAAGAAATAGTCCAAAAACCTCGGCCGGTTACAACTTTAGATGTATAGCGCATAAAAAAATTACGAATATATGGAAAAAGTCGTTAAAAGTTGTGTTAACAATGAACCCGATATTCACCCAACTACTATTTCGTCTACTACCATCTACCGTTATTCCCATACAAGGTTATCACCTTTGCTTGAACTTGTAAGCTTTGTACGAATATATACATATACATATATAAATAAATACGCGTATATACATGTATATATACATATAAGTAGACTACAAAATTTTGGCGTTATCTGAACATAAAAATATAGATTCGCGTGATCCCGCTGCATGGAAGTACCGTGATTCGAAGCGAAATATTAAATATAAAGTACTTGACCATTATCTCTTCTCTTTCTTTTTGTATAAAAATCACATGTTTGTATGCAGCAGTAAAATGGTTTGTTTGTTATGGAGTTTGTTTTCGCGCGTTTAAGTAAATGTTAGATGTCTATCCGAGGACGGTACTGCAGTGTCAACGGGGGATTTTGAAATCTCCACCGCGTTACATAGACGAATTTCAACGTGTGATCTTTACCTAACAATTCATCATTGCACAATATATCAATCTGCAACATGTGGGAAGGCTTTATATGTTAATTCGTATATGCTTGTTTTCGTTAAATATACTCACATCTCGGTATTTCTCCATCCCATTGAGGACCTTCTTAGCGACGAATTTCTTCAGATGCAGTATTGTTGCTTGTGCTGAACACCTAATGTACCTCCTCTTCAGTGACTTCAAATTGTTGCTAACACATTCCAGACACACATTCACTTGTTCATCCTGTCTGTGATAATCTGACTCTGCATGCACATCTGCCACAGATTTCTCATCATGGAAGTCATTGGAGTTGTTCTGTATGTCTTTGGGACAGGTGAGACCCCGGATCTTGTAGAAGTCCCTTTCCCTTGCTATCTCATCTAAAATTCCAAAACAGAAAACAAAACAAATGCAAATCACTAGGTTGGAATTGTGGTTGGCTTTAGGTTGATCACAGACTTTTTTGTAGGTCTGGCACTAATTTATATACTATATCTTGCATAGTTCTATCAAAACTAATGTATTGTAAAGGATGAGATTGATGTATGACTATATTGCATGTTGGACAGGTGTTGTTTTCCTCTAGGTGCTTAACTAAACAACTTTTGCAAACTGAAATGGAAAGGGGCAGTTAGTTGTTGGTGCTTCATTTATTTTTAGCAAGTTTTGACTCACAAGTATGAAGGCATTCAGTAACAGTTGTGGCATCAATTAAATAACCTCTACATATTTTGCATGTTATATGATTATTTAGCGTTCTTAGCTTTATTCTTCTTTCCATCATCTTGGATCCGTTTAAAAACCATAACTTCTTTTTATATATATATTGATGATATAACCCTACTTTAGTGCCAGACACAAACAAAAACTAAGTTTACAAAATAATCGGCCATTTTCGGGTCACAACCACAACATACTACACAACACAACGCAACCATAATCTCGTAACTAAATTCATGGTGCTTTTTAAAATTCTATCCTATGCTTTCTCCTTTTATGTTGGTACCCCCGAATTATGACAACACACCGAACTGAGGAATACTGAGTCACGATCACCCCTTACACGTTTCACGTTTGCGTTTACTTCATTTGCCATTGCTGCTCTATCTCTCTCCGTCTTTCTTTCCATTGCTCTCTGTCTTCCCGTCTTCGTTCCACTCTCGCTCTGGCCATTTCTGTTCTGTTCCCATTAGAATAGAACGGAGCTCGTTCAGAGCTGCGTGTTGTGTATCTTATTATCCAACTGCAGTGTCGTGTGATTCTTAAAAAGTTTACTTTTTTCATCGACGAAATGGGGGACAATTCCAGAGAGAAGCTTATAACTGCTCTCTACACAGAATTCAATAAGCACCAACAGAAAGGGGAATATGATCGTGCTTTAAAGCCAATCAACAAGAGTAATGCATTAACCTAACCCATATGTTATATTGGTTTTCAAAGAAAACTCAAACCAAATTTATTTTTATAGTTATTCAGATGGCCAATGATGATAAAATTGCCTTAAAATGTAAGCTAGTCTGTTTAATTTACTTGAATAAATTTGATGAGGCCTTACAATTTTTAAAAAAGCAATCTGCCATTGCGGTGTAAGTGCTCCATTCCAAGCTATATCAGTTTTGTCCTACAACTAATCCATCCATTTCAGCTGCATGCCTTTTGAGAAAGCCTATTGCCTTTACCGCACAAACAATCCACAAGATGCCTTAAATATGCTGAATGATGTTCCCAATCCTGACCACAGGATCTTAGAACTGAAAGCTCAGGTGCTATACAGGTTGGAACAGTTTGATGAAGCTGCCAATGTGTATCAAAACATATTCCGCAATGCACCTGATGATGAGTATGAAGAAGAGAGGCAAACTAATTTAGGAGCTGTGGTATCATCACTAAATCAAAGAGAATCTGTAAATATTGAAATGATATGGTGAGACTTTTTCTAAAACCTCATTTTAGGACAAATTTACCTCTCAATTGCAAGAAGAAACATATGAGATGTGCTATAACAAAGCATTGATGTATGTCAAACAAGAAAATTTTGTAAAAGCAGAGAAACTATTGAAAACTGCTGAGGTTATGCTTAAAGAAGCATTTGAAGAAGATGGTGCTACTGAAGAAGAAACTGATATAGAATTAGCCAATGTTAGGTAATGTTATTAAATACATATTTTGCATTAATTGAACAATGAGAACAATGGCTGTTATTTCAGAGTGTTACAAGCATTTTGCTGCCATAAACAAGGACGCCTTAAGGAAGCCCATCAGTTGTATTTGGGCGTACTTAAATTGAAGCTTGACGATATAGCATTATCTGCTGTAGCTAGTAATAACGTAGTTGTAATTAATAAAGATCAGAACGTTTTCGACTCTAAAAAGAAGATGAAAGTGGCGACAAACGATGCCTTGATTCACAAGTTGCCTTCAAGCCAAAGGAAAACTATTGCTGTAAACAATGCTATTTTTAAATATTATTGCAATCAGCACGAACAAAGCAATAAACTGTGCAATTCTCTGGTTAAAGAATGGCCAGATTTAGAAACTAAGTTAAAAATTTTGAATGCTATTAACGATACTAAGATCGATTCGAAGGCGAATCCAGTTCAAAGCCTGAAATCGGCTACAGCAAATACACCTGAAGACGAGTTAGTGTTGAAGCTAACCGCCGTGCATTTGCTTCTCACTCAGGGAAAGAAAGAGGATGCGTGTACAATTTTGGAAACTTTAGGAGACAATCGCTTCAAACCTGGTATTATCGGTGCGCTACTGACTATTTATATGCATTTGGGTAAGGAAGACGTTGCTTTAAAGATTTACGAGGAAGCAATCGAGTGGTACAAAGCAAACGAGGTAATTTAAAAAGAAACTGTAATCGATGGTTTTGTTATCGTGTATTAATACTTTCAGAAGAGCGGAAAAGACCTGACCTCGTTCTTCAGACAAGCTGGTGACTTCCATATCAGAAGTGGTAGGCCTCAAGTGGCAGCCAAGAGTTTCGAGCAGATACTTATAAACAACGCCAAGGATTCGAAAACTACTGCCCAATTAGTTATAGCTTGCTCTCAATTTGACAACAATAAAGCTATTGAGGTCAGTTCAAAGTTGGGCTCCATCGCTGACCTAGAGAAAGACGTTGACGTAAAAATTTTAGAAAGTAACATTTGGCTGAACGCAAAGAAATCTGCGACAGGGGTTACAAATAAAACCGAATCTCCCGGGTTTGTTTTCACTACTTTAATATCACATTGCTTCATTTATATTTTATTGTCTAACCTTTCAGTTCATCGGATAATGCACCTAAAAAGAAAAAGCACAGGAAACGCAAGGGTCCACTGCCTAAGAATTACGATTCCAGCGCAACGCCTGACCCTGAAAGGTGGTTACCCAAATATGAAAGAACCGGTTATCGCAAGAAGAAGGATCGTAGGGTCAAGGAAATTATCAAAGGTTCCCAGGGAACTGCTGCAGGACAGTCAGACCAATTGTACGTTTTTTTAAAGAATGCGTTTACCTTTAATCATTACTTATTTAAACTTTCAGTGATTATACAAAATATGTTACCGAAGATGACGGAGCTTCGGTTCCCGAACCATCTCCAATGCAAAAACTTTGGAAAAAGGGCGGAAACAATCAGAAAAAGAAGAACAAGAGACGCTGATCGTACTCTTTAAGGGGTTCATTTATTTTGGGTAAATGGTAATAAAACAGATTAAGGACACAAGTGCTTTCTTTATTTAATATAACAAATCATAAAAAAATATACATATTCCTTGTATCTTTGGTTCCACTTAAATATAAATACTAGAAATAATAATAATAAATAAGTCTGACGTTTGGATAATACGCGAACTATTGATTGGTTGATTTTAAACCATTAGATGTTAACTCGCTAATTTCGGTTGTTAACTTGGGATTGTCCGTTATATTAGTAGGTTTCTTAATGGATTTCGAGGATGGAAGCTTGTTCCCATACCTCTTGTTATTTATGAAAACTTCGATCGGTGTGTCTTCCAAAACCCCTGGACCATCGTAGTTATGATTTGAAAATCTGTCTGTCGATGTTTCATTTGCACGGTTCTGAGTGGTTAACTTTAAGTTAGTCGATGAGCCAAATATGTCTGGTGGTGAATCAAAGCTTTCTCCACTAAAGTCACTGAATTCCTGACGCTTGTGCGGCGTGACGTAGGCATTCGAAGGTGGTTTCGATTGCACTGGAGTGCCGTATGATGTTACTGCTCCAGGAGTTCCATAACTCGACGGAGGAGAGTTATCGTAAGGTCCAACGCTATCTATATGTGGGATTTCGTACGATTGCGGAGGGTATGGTTGGCTGTAGGTTTCCTGAGGTGTCCCGTAGTTTGCCGATGGCGCATTGTAAGAAGTATGGAATTTCGACGGTGGATTATCGAAGGTCGAGGGCGGACCGAAGCTCGGCACAGGTCCTCCATATTCGGACGATGGCTTTGCGAAACTTGGTGGAGGACTGTCATAACTATTATCGATAACCGGAGATCCATAATTGGTAGATGGTGGACCATATGATGATGTTGGAGGGCCATAGTTTTGGGCAGGTTCGTAGGTGGACGACGGCGGTCCGTAATTCGATGTAGGAGGACCGTAGTTAGAACTTGGTGGTCCATAACCGCTTGGAGGAGGTCCATAACTAGAAGTAGGAGGACCGTAGCTGGAAGTTGGTGGACCGTAATTGGAAGTCGGTGGTCCGTAATTTGAATTTGGTGGTCCGATATTAGGACTTGGCGGTCCGTAATTTGAATTTGGTGGTCCGATATTAGGACTTGGCGGTCCGTAATTTGAATTTGGTGGTCCATAATTCGTGCTCGGAGGACCATAACTATGAGAAGGAGGGCTAAAGCTGGTAGACGGTGGCTCGTAACTGCCTGTAGGCGGTCCGTAACTTGTAGTTGGCGGTCCGTAATTTAAATTCGGTGGTCCATAATTCGAACTCGGCGGTCCATAGCTGGACGACGGCGGTCCGTAACTAGTAGGTCCGAAACTCGTTGGACCAAAACTTATAGAAGGCGGTCCATAACTAGACGGCGGCGAGTACGAGGGTGGAGGTCCGTAACTGGTTGGCGGAGCACTGTACACAAAGTTTGGGGAGAATGAAAACGATGGTGGTCCATATTTTGACTTCGGCGGTCCGTACTTAGATTTAGGAGGCCCGTAGACCGGTCTAGAAGCACTGTAGTAAGGTTTAGGTCGTCTTCGGGGAGAGTAATATTTTGGAGGACTTCGGTAAATTATAATAGGAGGTTCCCTTTTTGCCCTTGTAATACTCGAATCAAAGTCCTCCTCTGACGAAGACACGATCTCCTCCTCTGGAATGCACTTACCGAGGACCACAAGCCAGCACAACAACTAAAAATAAAAGGACAGAAATAACATAAAACAGTACTTAGACTCCTGTCGTTATAATCCAGTAAAAACACAGCACTAAATTAATACTCACTAGCAAAGATTGTGGGAAGCGCATAATTGTAATATAATGATAGACCGCGGATGGTCTTCAACGCCAGTAACTTAGTGGGTCGGCGGTTTAGAAAATACTGTCACGGTCGGAACCGGTAGGATGATCTTTATATCTCCAATAGGACTTTATGGTGGAAGAGGCGAATTCCTTCCTACACCAATACAATTTTAGAAAACGGGCTCTGCACCGATCGAATTTATCCAATTTTTCGCGTGCTTTTATTCTTCTATTGCAATGTGAATATTTTCAAGCGAACTTCGCGACGACTCTGTGGCAACCGCAGTGAAAACCGTCGCTTTTCTATCATCCAGCCCCTATGTTGCTCAATTTTATGAATAATAAGTTTCTAATATTGAAAGCTGCGTTAACAAAATTATCAAACAACGCGAATTGTTTATGGTGGTTATTAATATATATTTAGACCTAAGTGAGAAACACACTTTCTTTATTACACTTCAAAATCGAACTGCTGCCTCTACACTGCGTCTGTAATCACGCTGGAGCATTTCAGATTCGTCGTACCACTTTCACACACCAATTGACCATCACTTTATATTAATATCATCTTCGTGTCCGTTCCTCTTGTTTTCCTTACTTTCCATCTTTCAATTATACACGTCATCACAACAAGCCTCTACTTTAAATTAAATAACAAACACTTCATATACAATAAAATATCATACTAAAGAACAACTTCATAGAAATTATTTAAATACCGAGCAGAAAGACATATTGTCAGTAACCCTTTGCAACAAATGAATTTGGTTTTCTATGTTATTTAAATATCTTAATAAAAAAAAAACAACGTGCAAGTAAAATAGAAATTATTTCATTATACTGAAAGAAATCGAATAACAGCTAATGTACATGTCCTTAATGATTTATCCGCTCTATCTGAAAGTTAGAAATTGTATAAACAATATAAAAATCATAATTATTCATTTGTTGTACTAAATTCATGATATTTTCATTAATCTTTTGAACACCGAAATGGCACTGAAAATATTAAACAAATGATGTCACAAATGGACTCAAATTTCTTTGACCGTTAAATAGTGGACGAGACGCAGTGTTTTAGATGTGCTTTACGCTATTTTCTTTAAATCTGTTCTTTCTCAACAGACTGACGGGTGATTTACTCTCCTACAAAGCGGAACAAGCCTAGATTTACCGTATCTAGGATGCCATTACCAGAACAATACTCTTCGACTCTTTCACAGTTTATACCGATAACAAAACCAAAGCGCTGATTACAATTACTAACTCTTGCATTTACCGCTCGTTGCATAGATAAAATTCATTATAACTCCTTTTGTTTTAATGATTTTTTTTTATAAAAATTGTAGAAATAAATTGAATTTTCCAAATCGAATTCGAAAATAATATTCTTAAAATAAATATCTGATGATTGCCAATGACTTGCATCGGTATTCAACGGCTTTTGCAATTTAAAAATATGTAGGTTTTGTTGTTGATTATGCCTCCATATAACAACGGGATACTAATTGTAGTATTGCTTTAAAAACAATATAAATTAGGTAGAATTCGCATATTCATTTTACTAGATATAACTGTATCAACTTTAAAAATAAACAAAAAATAAATTAAATTATATTTTCTTTTATTTGAAATACATATACACTCATGTAATCCGAGACTTACATCAAAAAATGTTATCATTTTTATAAACTTTGCAATTACATTTTTCAATATGATAACGTCGAGATGACCTTCACTGTAGCAATATTCTAAGCAATGTTCAATGATACTTAACTACCATTCAAAATATTACAATTAATAAATATGTATACAACGTTGCTCGATGACCTTGCATACTAGACGTTTGTATAAGATAACATGGGTCTATATCGACAACCGAAATACCGTCTATCGAAATCCCGACTATATCAAAATCCCAAAAGTAACAAAATCCCGACTATATCGGAAATTGCTACAATAACATTTTTAAATTATTTAGGAGCATATATATTTATTGTTATTGTTTTTATTTCTAGTATTATTAAATTGTTCATTTAATTTTCATATTTCAATTATTAAACTTGTTAATAAGAATGCGCTCTATTTTTAATATGTTCGGTTTTTCAAAATTTAATAGTCATTTTTTTTCAGATTGATGTCGCCTATTCGTGCAAGAGATAGACCCATATACCATTGGTATTATGAAGAATGCACATAATAAATAGGTGAGAATTTGGTTTTATCAATATAAATTAGTAATTAAATAAAATATTAACATTTAAATGCAACAAATTACCATAATACAACTCAACAAAATAACACAATATGAAAATAAAAACCAAATTGATTTGCTGCAAAAAGTCTTTATTACTATAAATATTTATTTTTTTTTTAATCAATATACAATCAGTTGTTTTGATATTGGAGTTATCTACAAGAAATATTTCATAAACAAGGAGTATAATATGTAATATATCAAGTGATTAAATCGATACAATGAAGTTGTGTCAAGTTATTTTCATAGATTGAATTTCAAAATATAAATGTGCTTCTTCGATTTCTCTTCTTCCGCTTACACTTTTCTTTTATTGTTGTTGTTTTTTATTTCATATTCGTTTTTGGTTATGGTCAAATGCAATTAGAGAAGTTGGCGTGATATTGAATTGTTGCGTTTAGCAGGTCGCAGCTAATTAAACGTGATCACAGCGTGACAGTGAAATCAGAAAATGAGAAGCGCGGATTTTCGTGCTTTGCGGGGAAGGCGGCCACGGTTGGTCTGGGTTAATAGGTGAAACTGCTGATGAATAAATAACCAGACAAATGTACCAGCAGGGATGAGGTGAAAGGAGTTTAATTTTATACTGGAGGATGCTATCCTCCTTATGGTACGACCCAGTCCTACATATACTCTCGGTCTCGATTTCGATTTCGAAAAGTCTTTTCACCAGTTATGCAACGCTGACTCCACATCAACAATGAATGATACCGTTTGATGATATAGCGTGATATAGCGCTTCCGACGATCGCGAAGTGGTCACCCCACCTTTACTTTTTACAGGTATCGTTTACTGTTTACTTTAGTTTACATAACTGCCAGAAGTTTCAAATTTCCCGCTCTTCGGATCGGCGCCGCCATCACGCATATCCCCACCACTACCCCCAGACAAATTTGTGTTGCTTAGCGATCTGCATTGCCGGCATCGTTCCTTTTTCTGCTAGCTTTCAGTGGGATATACATGTTATAATCATGAAGGTATGTATTAAATTTGGTTATATTTGTGTATTTAATGGATATTTTTCGATAATATTCGTGTTTATCGATGATGTGAACCGTGCGAAATGGAATTTTTGTGAAAAATTGTGTTGGTGCAGCGAGATGTTCGAAATAAACACGGATGAAATTTCATAACCTGCATGTCCGTAATACGAGTTCACGTAAACAAATCGAAACGCGAGATCGTCTAAATGTCCATGTTAAAATATGAGCTAAAGTGTGGATTAAAACGTGTTTGGGCCAAACTTTAGCTGCACTGTTTATACCATAACTGTTTGTTGTTTATATATACAATGTATATCATGAATTATGTTTTTGTTATAGCTGAACATTTCGTACCCGGCCACGGGATGCCAAAAACTCTTCGAAATTGTCGATGAACATAAAATTCGTATGTTCTATGAGAAACGCATGGGCACAGAAGTTGATGCCGATGCATTAGGTGACGAATGGAAAGGTTATGTCTTCCGTATTGCTGGAGGCAATGACAAACAGGGTTTCCCTATGAAGCAAGGTGTCCTCACCAACGGTCGTGTTAGATTGTTGCTTTCCAAGGGACACTCTTGCTACAGACCACGTCGTACTGGTGAACGTAAAAGGAAGTCAGTCCGCGGATGCATTGTTGACGGAAATCTCAGTGTTCTTGCTTTAGTGATTGTTCGCAAAGGAGAGAAGGTAATTATACAAAAAAAATTAGAATATGTGTAAAAATATTCTTCAATACTCAATTGTTGTCAATGTGATAGTAGCTACAGCATTTTGCACGTCAGTTTGTTGTTTTATGCATCTTGATAGAAAAATGCTGTTATAGTAATTGTGTCATCTTACCACACACTGTTTACATATGGACAGTGTGGAATGATTGTCCCAACATATCAATTAATCATATCTTAAATTTTACAAACTATGTGATCATAAGCTTTTCTAAATGAGACATTATTTTTTTTAGGACATTGCTGGTTTGACTGACACCACTATTCCACGTAGGTTGGGTCCAAAGAGGGCAACCAAAATCCGTAAGCTGTTCAACTTGAGCAAAGAGGACGATGTACGTCAATACGTTGTCAAGCGTCCATTGCCAGTTAAGGAAGGCAAGAAGCTGCGCTTCAAGTCTCCCAAGATCCAGCGTTTGGTAACTCCCCAAGTTCTCCAAGTAAGTCAATAACTAAATAATTATAAAATCGATCCACATTCTAATCATCCCTTATTGTTTTTAGCGCAAACGTCATCGTATTTCCTTGAAGAAGAAGCGCGTCGTCAAGGCTAAGGAGGAAGCTGATAACTACGCTAAGTTGTTGGCCCAACGCAAGAAGGAATACAAAGTGAAGAGACAAGAGGAGCTTAAGAGGCGTCGTTCCGCCAGCATGCGCGACAGCAAGTCCAGCACCCATAGTGCACAAAAATAAATTTATTATTTAAAAAAAGCAAACCCTAGAGTAATCGATATAATTCCGGACCACTCAGGTTTTATACTTTTAAAATAAATGTCATTGCTCTACTAACTTGTTTCATTCCTTCTCATCTGTAATCTATGCAAACCCAAACCTCCGCAAGTAACTAGAACAGATTCGGTGTACCTCTTAATCGAATTTGTGTAGAAACCTTGCAATATTAACATGGTCATACATTTTCTAGCAGATTAACCCAAAAAGTCTAGCTCGAAAATGTTGCCCAAACATTGTTTCATTTCAGTAATTCCGTTTTTGTTTTATGTGAGTATTTTATCTTGTGTTAATTAATTAATTTTCCTCTCTTAATTTATTATGATGAACTTTTATTTTAATTTTGTCTTCTTTTCCCGTCTGAAAATAATGACTGATAATTTAAACTCTGATTTATACTTAAGAATGATAACTTATTGCTTTTCTTTAAATGAAATGTTTTAATTAGTTTATTTCTTTACAGATTCCAACTGTTGGAAATGATTATGAAATGCCATTATTCAATAGTCTGGTATGTTATAATTTATATTATTTAATCAGCTTTCATAAATAATGCAAATATATATTCAAATTGAATTTTAACAAAACTAGTTAAATTAATACAAAGTTTCATAGAAAATAGTTTTATTTGATGAACACACATTAAACATTGTCTTCTTTTCCCGTCTGAGAAAAAACATGAGTGATAATTAATGATCTGATATTTTTGTTTCACAATTTATTTTATATATATTTTTCTTAAACAAGATAATTAACATTTTTCTTTTATTATTTGCAGATTGTTTATTTCCTGTGACCACTTTGCTTTCTTTTAATATTGTAACCGGTGAGTTTTATTTTGTTTATTTTTATTTTTATTCATATAACTGACAATTGAATGATGATTTCTTTATTTAAATTTTGTCTTCTTTTCCCGTCTGATCGTACATGAGCGACAATAAATAATCTGATAAATTGTTTCATTCTTTAATCAATTCATTTGCTTAAGTATTTATACAATATTAAATTATTATTGTTTCTTTGCTTACAGATTTTAAATCCAGTGCGCATTTTAATGTTTTTTGTGGTGAGTTTTATTTTTGATTATATTATTTATTTAATTTTTCAATTGAAAACTGAACTGAAAACATAGTTTCATTACTTAAAAGTACCGTATATAACAATTTTTCTAAATTGCTTCTTTTCCAGATGCTGTGCACATAATCAGATAAAGAATAGTTTTATTCTTGTTCAGGTGAGTATTATATTAATATTTTCCATCTTTCAGTTACTTCAGAAAAAAATATACCAACTTTTCTTTACAAAGATAATAAATAAATATATATGTTTTTTTTTAAATATGACTTATTTTGTTTTTTAATATAACCAATTGTTCTATAACAGATTTACAAAATTGAAAAACTGAAATCAACAATTTTATAAATCTGCATATTTCAAGATGCTAAGAGGTAAATATTTTCAAGGTTGATTCAATATTGTCGACGTGGTAAAATTTACAAGGTCATTCTATAACTTAAGATGAAATACAAATTGTGTCCCGGGATTAAGAAATCCTTGGACACCGTGGATTATCTCGTAGTTATGTCGTTGCGGAGTCTTAGAAGGGTTTATGAATATTAAATGCTATATTCTTAATTAACTTTATTGTAAACATCGGAGTTTTATTGAGAAGTCAACTATATAATAGATGATCTCATGGATTATTACTAAGAGTTACATTCTCCTCTTAAGTTAGTGTTTATGAAGTAAGTGCTCTTCCTTGGACTCTCCCAAATAAGACCAACTTCTCAGTTCGACCCCTTAGCTAAGACTTCCTCGGTTCGACCCTTAGCTAAGGCTAAATTATATAATACAAAAATGTGTTCATTTCAAAAAGGGGCTGCGTGGGAGGTAAGGGTTTGACCTTTTGGAAAATACAACCGTTTCTTTATCTAAGTTTTATGATCCTGCCCAAATATTTAGGGGCTGCAGAAGGCTGTTAAGTGGTGATACAAATAGACGCAACTATACAATTTAATGTGTAACCGTTGTTGGGAATATTCCACAAGTTATTCTAAATAATCAAGTACATGTATCCGTTTGTATATTTGATGGATACGTTAAATATGATTTGTAATAATTAAGAGGAAAGTCATGGCCCTAACAAATATAAATATTAGTTATACAATAGATACGACAAAATATAGTAGGATTTACTAATAATTATACTTACGTAATAATTGTTATTAGTTTTCATGATAAATATTTGTCAATTCATTAACCCTTGAAAGGTTTGATGCAGAAATTGAGAAAGTATGCGTCAAATGTTCCGCAGAAATGCAATTACTGAAAATTTTGTACAAATGAAACAAGTTGTGGTTTTCATGAATGTAGTCGGAAGTAGATTAAAACACGTTGATTAGTCAGCGTTATTCTATAAGTATTGAATGTCTAAGCTGGTATCAGTTAAAAACGAATTAGCAGTGAAACTACAACTGTCGCTAAAATATTTCGCGTTTAATTAAAATAATATGCACTCACGAAACTGCTGATACTGGACTACATACAGTCATTATTATGAGGTGAGTCAAAACGATATTTGCAAAAGACATGATTTTTGATAAATTCATTGTTCATTAATCACTTGAAAAGAAAAAATGTGGATTACAATTTAGTTATTAACTTAGTATTCACACCTTCAGTACCTAATTGTAACCAGTGTAGAATTGTTCGGTGCAATTATATAAAACATGAATACCATAGAGAAAATCTACATGTTTTCCATTATGTCTATTTATATGATGTATCGGATTTGTTTACACAAATCACATAAGAGGAAAGAGTCCACTTTTAAACAAAATACTTATTGTTGCAGGTAAAAATCAAAGTTTATATTTAATAAATAATGATTAAAACTGTCTAATCTCTAGATTTATACATATTACAAATGTATTATAAAATTTCTTTAGTACTTATAAAATAAAAGTATGTAAAACTTGTATTTGAAATTTTTTCAAAAATTGAAGAAATATTTCTTTCGTATAAGAATATCTAATTTATTAAAGTGAATCACGTCGTTGATATTAGCAAAACAAACATGTTTAGAAACTGTCGAGACTTTCTCTTTTCAACGCATGGAAATCTCGTATCTGTTTGCATAATTAGCAAAACTAATTTGCTTATTTTGTGTATTCTCATAGTTTAGAAACGTGGAAACGATAGACGAATATGTTGTTATCGATAGGCATATGATTACGTATATTCTACTGCGAGAGATCATATTGTGAGCAAGTAAATAACAAAACACGTGTAATAGAAACCAGAGCTTCGTTTTGAATTACGAATATTGCGTGAAAAAAAAAGAAACTGCTGTTTCCTAACTCGGGAAATACTTTGATCTCATTATGCAGAAGGGCGTATAATTACAAATGCTAACGTTCAATTTGCAAATGACGATATAACGACATCCTAGCATTATTATTCTGTTTATATATGATTACATAGCAATTATGTTTGTTTGTTAATGAATATATTTCGTATTTTGCTCTACACAGAGACGGATTCATTGATTTTTTCATTTTGTGAAATACTATATTTTTATTGTATATTCATTATTTATTATAATAATAAGGTTTATTGCAATAGTCACATAAAAGATAAAATAAACAAAAATTAATATATAATTCCGATTAATAAATTATATTACTTTAGAAATTTAAAAACCTTTAATAATGATTAGATTTTGAATGTTTTTAAAAATACATTATATAATGTTATTTATAAACATATCAGGTTTAGATTAATCCTCACTATTTGTTTTATCATGAATGTGAATTAAATAAGATTATATTAATCAAAACAAAGTTTCCTGTATGATGATTTTTTTTGGGGAAATTTCATAAATATAATATATTTGCGTTCAAGGAAGAAAGACGGATTATTTGAAAGTTTCGTTATAATTTGAGAAGAAAAAGTTGATTGTCGATTGATGTTTCTGAAAAAAAAGATAAGTTGTTAGTCCGGATCTGTTTATGCGCTATTGCGTATTGAATATGCATAAGGTGATGTGTATGTGAAAATGATTCATGTGCGGTTGTTTATGTAATGCGACGATTCTTATTGTTATTTCGTCAAACGCAGTTCGATGTAAATCCACATCCAGTGCATACAGTAGCCGAAATAGCATAAATAAAAGAACAATCTTATGACACAACCGGACGATTGTATAACGGTGGGAGTGAGAGTTTCAAAACGGGCGGGAATACAGTTGTTGCCAACATATATTTGTATCAAAACTTCTGGGGCCCATCAAAAGAAAATGGTGGATGGTTAAACATCACTGACGTTTGGGTCAATGTTTTTTTTGTGCGAAATTTAGGCGGTTTCGGGTCGTGATTGTTGTTGTTCTGGTCTCAGGTGTCCTCAGTCTAGTATCCAGCAAACGAAGGTTAGTTGAAAGCTAAAAAGTGTACTAGATTTAGCCACCGACTGATAACCAAGAAAAGTGCCCGAAAGAACGAAGAACCGAGAGAAAAAAAGAAGAAGAAAGAAAAGCGTGCAAGGAAGTAAGTATGAGAGAGAGAGAGAGAGAGAGTGAGAACAGAAAACAAGACGAAATATTATGTATGTGCAATGTATATATAGAATATTTATTGGGTCAGGCCAGGAGAAATTCTCACTCGATTTGTGACGATTTTCGAAATACTTATTTACATATCGCCACTGTCATCGCAAATTGGCAGTTGAAACTCTTTACACTTTCTACACCATCCAGGACATAAACTGACAATCTTACCAAGCCCACCCCTAATGTGTGTTCTCACCATTTGTACCTTTCCAGATTATGTGCAATTGAGCAGAAAGTAAATCATTCCGGAATGACCAGCCAGAATCTGCATAACTCCCTCAGCCAGGTAAAATTGAGTAATGCTAGCCACTGCCACTCTTTTGTTCATATTACTATTTCATTTTAGAGGTATCAACCACTAGCTATTGTCTCTCCATTCCAGGAAGTCGAGAGCCAGTGGACGACAAGCAATGCTCCCTCACCAGTACCTCCAATTGTACCTGCCAGAGGAATAAAGAGGAACAACCCCAGTGAATGCATTCGAACACATGACACAACTTCTCACATAGCATCTGAGCCTTGGGTGAGTAATCTTCATTATCCATTATATCAAAAACTGATTATCCCCCACCTAGATAAGATATTGAATTCAATTTGATACAGATTACACTGTTCCCCATATGCACACAGAAAATTGGCAAGAAGCAGTGTTCACCAATTTTGTGCTTGAGTGCAATTGAAACAAACAATAATTAACTACAATACATTTCAACCTTGAGCATATCTCTGCAATATTAGATTAAATGTGTTCCACCATTTTATTTATTATTCTGATAAGGCCTGATGATTAAGTCCCTTTTTGTTAATTGGACTATGTTGTGTATACGCGAAGCTTTCAATGTTTGTTACAACCTTTTTCAGTCACAAGAGCATAATCCAGATGCAACAAACCTCATGCATGACTGCAATCTTTTACTAGCACCTCAAAACAATATGAACATCGATTGCAACCTAAAAAATTTTGGTAACAATGGACATGATGTAAATGTTAACCGAGTCCAAAGCCCTATTAGAACTGATGTTAAATTTAATTCTATGCCGTACGTATTTTATTTATTATTGTTTTATTTTTAGTTTTAACACATTCTTTCTAGTAAACTAAATGTTTCTGAAATTAACCAAACCATAACCTGCACTAATATATGTTTTCTTTATTATACAATTCATTATTTTCAAATAAAGTAGTCAGTGTTGTGTTTTTTNNNAAATTTAGCATTTAAAGCCAATAATTTTCTCAAGCAGATAAGATTAGGAATCCGATTAGATTAATGACAAGGAAATGAAGGAAATTGCTTGCACTTATTTTAGATAGAAATTGTTAGAGTTTAGTTTTTCTTTTAGGTTGATTAGTAGTTTAGATATTCCATCACGCTTGTTATTAGTTTGCTGGTATTATTATTTTCGATTACTGATAATGATCTTCATGGAGTAATTTCTATTTAGATGTAATTAAGAAAAATTGCGGTGCGAACTCAGTGAACGCAATCTTATTGTTTTAGATGGTTTCATGGAAAAATATCGCGTGATCAAGCCGAATTACTACTTCAACCTCGCGTCGATGGCCTGTTTTTAGTTAGGGAGTCCACGAATTTTCCAGGCGATTACACGCTCTGTGTATGCTTTCAAAATAAGGTGGAACATTACCGTGTTAAGTACCATGAGAGAAATTTGACTATAGACGATGAAGAGTTTTTTGAGAATCTCGAGAAGCTGATTGAGCATTACAAGAACGATGCGGACGGGTTATGTACGCAGCTTATCCACTGTCTACCTAAAGAAATTCCGAAGAAGGAACCTTTGCAGATTCAAAATTCTCCTCACATCGATGATCTGTTTATAATCGCTGAGCAGGAGCTGGAGGTAAATAGCAATTTCTCAAATCGTTGAATACGCTTTAACAACTTCTAATCATTTCAGACATTGGAGAAAATTGGTAAAGGCGAGTTCGGCGAAGTCCTTCTGGGCGAATGGAAAAAGCAAAAGGTCGCAGTTAAAGTACTAAAAGATTCTAGTGAAGCTGAAGCCATCTTGATGAAGTAAGTATCTTTTGCTAAATAAGACGCACAATTTATCTTAACAATGGTATTTGTTTGCAGATCTTTACATCATGAAAATCTAGTTAATTTGTTGGGCGTGGTTCGCAAAAAGGACCAGATTTACTTAGTCACCGAATACATGAGTAAAGGAAGTTTAGTAGACTATTTGCGGTCACGTGGCAGGCTTCATGTTACTAAGAGAGATCAGATTAACTTCGCCTTCGACACCAGCGCAGGCATGGAATACCTGGAACGAATGCACGTTGTACATAGGGATTTAGCAGCGCGGAACGTTCTCATTTCGGAAAATGGTGTCGCCAAAGTCTCTGATTTCGGCTTAGCCAGAAATGAAAAGAATACTGCTTTAGAGTCCGCCAAGTTACCCATTAAATGGACTGCACCCGAAGCTCTCAAACAAAATGTAAGTTAAATAATATTAAATATTCAAAGCTTAATTTTTTTTACAAAATGTTTTTCTTTTTTAGAAATTCTCCAACAAGTCCGATATGTGGAGCTTCGGGATTTTACTTTGGGAAATTTATTCATTTGGACGAGTTCCCTATCCGCGTATTGTATGTATAACATCAGTAAAGCGTGTAATTAAATTTAATTGAGGTGGTTGTTTTTTAGCCATTAGCTGATGTGGTGAAGCACGTCGAGAAAGGTTATAAAATGGAAGCTCCGGAAGGATGTCCACCTGAGGTTTATGAAATTATGCGGCTGGTAATAAAATCTCAGCTTTAATTGCATCGTAGCACTGATAATTATTATTCCTTTTGTTCTACAGGCTTGGGATTTGAATCCGGAAAAGCGTCCGAAATTCCAGGACGTTAAAGCTAAACTGGAGATTTTGAAGCAGCAAACACTTTGAGAAAAAAGAAATGCATAGTATTATTACGAATATTATTATTTTTGAACGTATTTTCTATGTACCGGGTTCGCACAAGTGATTCCTATTTTCATGTAGGAGCTGACTTCTCTCTCATATTTTGACGACTATTCTAGACTCCAATTCCCAAATGAAAAAGAAGAAAGAAAGAAAAACTATGCATAATCCATGTATATTTATTTATTTATTTAAAAGTGAAACGAAATCCTCATTTCGTTTCAAATTATATTTTTGAATTCTTAGTTTTTTTTTTGTTATTATTTTTATTCTTTTTTTTTTTGTTTCTCCGCTTTGAAACAGCTCTTCCTCCAAACTTTGTGATTTATTATTATTATTTTATATTAATTTTTTGTTTTATTTTTGTAAACATAATAATTAATACCTTCCTATTACTGATTTAAACGCATCGTCTCCCATCTATCTATTATCATCCCTCAAACTATTTCTGTCATTCTTATAATATATTTACCAAAAGAATTTGTGAAAGTAACTTCTGTTTGTGTTTATATTGGCCAAATAGTAGAGTATTGTAATAACGCCGCATTTCCAATCATCAATAAATTGTCAAGTCATGTATTTTAAGGATTTATCTTACTATATTTAACGTATATATAAGAAGAAAAAATTATGTCTGACATTTTAGCGCATGTTTGTCCATTAAAATTATGTTTTTCTAAAATTAAAATCCTCTTTTACTTTATTTTTATACATTTACCTATTCCTTGAAAAAGCATTCTCATCAGAGTTTCGCTATTACAATTTATTTATGTCTTTAATATTATGTTTATTCTGTAACCCAGAAACGACGATTTTCGATTTTTCCAACATTTCATGAATTACTGGACAACCGCTAAAGGTTGTACTCATATTTAAGTTGAATGTCTTCCCTTTATAAAGTGTATCAAAAGTCTCATTGCTGGAAATGTAACCGCTTCACGTTTTATTTTCTTTTAGGATAACCCAGCAAAATATTTACATAATTCAACAAGAATTCTAAACTGGAGACATCCACCTTTCGAATTCTGGCATAGATATTTCGAGAATTTACTGAATTATTTAGACTTTTTTTGTTTTAAAAATTGTTCAACTATAGACAACCAAATAAACACACGTGACGAACATTTCGCAACTTTTGATTCATAAAAAGGTGCGTAAGAATGGCGCCTATCTTAAGCAATCCTGAAATTCAACAAAAAATACGTAATTTTCGTGTAATTAAGAAAAAGCGTGAAAACTCGTCGGATCACAACGAAACAGCGATTTTTAAGAAAATGCTATTCACTTCTTCCAAATTCTACAGCTCGTAGCAGGCGACTCGACGCCAACACGAAGATGTAAATAATTTCGTTGGAAGGGTTGTCGAGAAATTTACAATTTCTAAAGCTTATAGCAGGCGACTTGATAAAAACACAAAGATGTTAATAGGCTCAATGGAAAGGTGAGACATTAAGCTTTCATACGAGTGGTCGATGATGTAATTATCTTAAGGCAGTGGTTTCCAAACATGAAGTTATAACGCCTCCCTCAAAAGTATGTAATCATTTGGCGCCTCCCCTTTCAAAAAAGGAACGCGCATAACAGCAATATGGAAAAGAGCACAGGAATGTATCTACATTTGCTGGATTCCCCAAATTTCATATGCATCTTTTGGATT